ATGCAACATACATTTTTGAATTCTTAGAAATCTAAGAGCCTCTTTCTGTTTCCTTTACAAGTGAATAACAAATGGCTAGACTGAGACTGAGCCACCCACTTTTCCCGTCAACAGTCTGTAGCGATCCCTGACGGCTGTCTCCCGGCACTCAGACCGCAGAGACTCCAGCCACCCCTGCGGCTGTTTATTCTGCTCAGACACTTGCAGGATTTTTTTCGTCTTCATTTTCCAAATTCACAAGTTTTTACAGGATGGACTTTGGCCTGCGACTGTGTGAGCCCCTTTGACCTGCAGACTCAATACTTTCAGCGCAGCCTGTGTCTGCATAGCCCAGGGACCCCAGCTCCTGAGTTGAGCTCACTCAGTATCTTCCATGTCTTCTATTTTCTCTACTCTTCATTCCTGTGCTATTTTTAGGGACACTTAATCTGTCCTATTCGGTGGTGACAGTTTTGTGTCATCCTGTGTCCACTCGGTATCTGTCATGCAGATTGTAATTCTGCACATCCATTCTGACTTTCCTTGCTCGTGCCACTTCACAAACGTTCTTTTCTATTCAACCCGCAGACTTTTACTACCTTGTTTCAAAGAGAGCATGTTTTCTTGCATTGTATGTTAAGACAAAACACACAGTTCCTGAAAATTCTCTCCAGCTCCCTTTAACCACTTCGGTACGAGCTTCCACTATAGTCGACAGCCACAGATGAACGTGCACAGCTGAGCGTCGACGCTAGCCGACAGCCGTGATACGACTTTTCTAATTTTTCATTTATTAAACTAAAATTGTGAACATTTAAAAATAACGTAATGAAACATATATGTATGTGTTACCTATTCCGATTTACAAGTAAAGCTGCCTGTAAAGTAAAACAAGCTTTCAGTGCTTTCAAGCTTTCCTCATCACACAAGAGCAAAACGGATTTGTAGTCAGTGCACAGCACACACTATCGTTTGGACTGTGAGTGCCGGCTGTGGGCAAGGTTTTGTGGCTGGTGAGCGCCGTGGTAAAGTGGTTAATAAACTCTTGTCCACACAATGAGCCCTTTCTCTGCATCCACAGGGCAGCCACCCAGCATCTTAGACCCGGGATTGTTTTCCCAGCCCCCTCCCAGGCCCTGGAGCTGTGGTTGTTGTATGCTGCAGATACTTACTGTTGAATGGGAGAGCTCCCTCCAGACCCCGCGCCGCCCGCTCTTGGGCCAGCGCGTATTCTCAGGTGCTGATGAAGTCCTCTCTTCCCTATTTCCCCCGAGGGCAGCCGAGGGGCACAGCCCCAAACAGATCATGGGTCCCAGAAGCGGCCGCGTGTCTGCCTCCAGCATCGAGTGGGCTTGTCCCGGACAGCATGGTCCAATGTTCAACCTGCGCAGCCCAAGCATTTATTCCTGCAGCCCCGGCCGCACTCTGTGGTTGTTCCTCGTCCCGAATGCGGATGCGTGGGGCTGTCTGCCGGTGCATTGGCTGTCTTGCCTTTTTATGTCCTTTGGAAGCAGAATTCCTGCTTCTCAGCCGTCACGGGTGAGACCTGACCTCTGGCTGAAGGGGTGGGGGCGTGTGATTTAAGCTACGGGTTCTCTGGGATGGCCGTGCAGCCTGATCAGGGCCTCGGGACGTTGCGAGAGGAGACAGTGAGTGCGGAGCTGCTACAGCATTTGTGGCCCGAGGACACCTGCCTGCCCTGTGCCTGCGTCTGCACTGAGGCTGGCAGAGACAGCCAGACGGAGGGGTGCTGCCAAACGCTGTGGTCCAGGTCTCCTGTGGGGCCTTCGCCTGCTGGCGGTTTTGTTCACGTCCTCAGTGCACCCATTTTCTCACTCTCCCTGGTGAGAATCTCACCCCTTCTTTCTCTCTCCTCAGCCCCTGCCCGCACCCTGTCAGCAGTGACCTCACTCCATCCTTTCCTGAGAACACGGACCAGCTGGAAAAGACGCTGCCACCTAAGTGCTCCCGTGGGCACCTGCTTGAGGGCGAGGTCCCTGCTTCCCGCTGGCCCAGGCCCCTCTGCGTGTGCGGGGCTCTGTCTCGCTCGCCCCTCAAGGACGCGCTCTGGGACACACCTCCTTTCCCTCGGCACCTTCTGTCTCTCCGTGTCCGTCTGCCCCGCCCCGTCTGCCCGTCTCACATTCCCGGCCGCTGCCCCACTTCTCTGCGCCTGAGTCACAAGAACACCATGACAGCACGACCCTGCAGGGTGGCCGTCCTCTCCCTCCCCTCCTGCGATGCCCCCAAGGCCTCCGTCTGGCCAGGTGGACTCCCGCGCCGCACAGCGCTCCCCAGCTCCCGGGGGGGGGGGGCACACCTTCTCTGCCGCTCCTGCCCCGCTCAGGCCTGTCGCCGCCGAGGGCCAAGCTTGCGCCCGACTGTGGGGACGCCTCCCCTCCCAGACGGCCCACAGCACGTCAATCTTAGGGACTTTCAACTTCCTGCCTGACTGCCCCCCAACCCTGCCTCTCCCAGCTCCGTCTTGGTGCCTCAGCGCCTGGTGTTCAGGTGCGCCAGCTGTCGTCCCGGACGTCTTTCAAGCCAACAGTGAGTCCCACCGTGGCTCCATCTTAAAAATATGTCCCCAGTCTGCCCGGACAGCGTGGCAGACGGGCTCCTCCCTGGTCACCAGCTCCCCCTCTCGACACCCGAGGGAGCGTTATAAAGATCAGTCAGAGCCGGTGCCTTTGCCCTGGCCCTGCCCGTGCCGGCTGCCCATCTGGGTGGGCCAGGGCTCCCGAGCCTGCTTCCCCGGACCTGGAGGGTGGCGGTGTCGCCTCCACGGAGCTGCCACCAGGAGGGTTTATGGAGGTGCGCGGAGAGTGCTCCTGCCTGGCTGGCCGCGGCAGAGACTGAGGCTGTTGTCACCGCGGCCGTCTCCCTCAGGCCCAGCACGGGCTGGCTGCACAGTCTCTCCTCGCCTCAAGGCTCAGCGCCAGCTAGACCCTTCCCAGAGCACTTGGGCCGTAGACGTTGCTGGCGCTGCTCGGCGCACCCAGCAGGGCACAGGAGAGCTGTCCGCGGAGCTGGTGCCACTTGTGATCAACAGTCGAATCACAGCGCCAAGCAAATGCCAGTGTGTTGTGGGCACACGCTTTTGACGCACCTGGGCTGGCGCTACTTAGCGCCTGGGATTGGCAAGTCTGAGCTCACCTGACTGCAGGCTCCTGGCCGCGCAGGCTGCGGGCTGCCGAAAGCAGGCTCCTGCCGGGCCCAGGAGAGGCTGGGGACGGCTATGGCGAGCCACTGCCACCGGTCCTGGTGGAAACACGGCACTCGGCATTCGTTCCAGCAGCCCGAGGCTGCTGCGGCATTTTCCTGTCTAAGGAAATCTGGGTGTGCTGGGCTGGGAGATGCCAGAGGCTCCCTCCAGCCCGGGTGGGTGCGTCTTGCGGCCTGTGCCGATCTCCACCGGCGGCTCCTGCCTCGCAGGTCTGCCGCTGCCCACGTGCGAGGCTGGTCCCTGCCACGCGCCCTGCTTAACGACAGGGACCGTTGTCTGGGCCCCCAGCCTAAGCGCCAGAGCACACCTGTGCCGAGCACGCGGGGCCCCTGCAGTGAGGGGTTCGTGCCCCTGGGGAACCCGGCGTCTGGGTTTGCGGGCCTGACAGTCAGGTGTGGGCATGGGAGGGGACCCGGGGGACTGGAGGAAGCCGCTGGGCTCTGAGCGGTGCTGTCGGGAGGCAGGTCCTGCCGCCAGTCACTGGATGGTCAGCGCGGGCTCCAGACGCGTTAACCTGGGGCCACGAAGCGCTTTATCACACCCACTGGCCTTTCCCAAGGAGAAGACGCTCCCCAGGGCTGGCGCGCTGCAGTGGGAGTCACAGCCGTCAGGCGGTGGCCAAGGACCTCGCCCTGCCCCACGTCCTGCAGTTGGCACGCGGGACATGGCCGGCAGGCGCTGACGCCCCCCCCATGGGACACACCCTCCCCAAACGTCTGGCTCCCGCCCTCTCCTCGCGTGGGTCCCCAGCGCCTGCCCCAGGCTGGGGGCCTGGGCCCCCGGCGGAGCTGTGGCTGTCGTCCGCCTCCCACCGCCGGGGCTCCCTTCCGGTGCAGGGCCTGGTCGCGCTCGCTCACTGCCCGGCCAGCGCCCAGCCCACGGCCCGGCACGAGTTCAAAGGAGCACGAGACCTGGCAGAAGTTTTGAGGGCCTTGATGTTGGAAACAAGCAGGTGTCATGGCCCAGAGAAGGAGGCGTGTGCATGCCCGGGTGTGGCTCTGCCCCACCTCCCAGATCTACCTGGCCCCCGCCCTGAGCCCCGCCTGGGCTGACTCCTGCCAGACTCGGTTACGTTGCAGCGCTATCATCGCTCTGGGCCATGCGAAGAATGCCTGTTTGCTAGCCCCTCGGAACACTTTCACGTGCAAGGTCACCACACGAAGGCCGGGCGGCAGGGGAGAGGCTGCGTAGAGCCGACACTCGCTGGGACGTCGGGGCTCCCTGCTCAGCAGCCCCCGCTCGGACCCCTGGACAGCCCACTGGCCACCGCGGCCTCATTTTGCTCTGGAAATGGTTGGGAGCCACTTAGAAACCACACAGGCGTCTGGGAGTGGGTCCGCCCATCTCCGCCTCCAAGCACGTAGGACAAGAGTAAGGAGAAAACAAGATTGTTCTTCTCCGGATGTCACAGTTGCAATTTCAGAAGACCAGCGGACACATGGCCACCAGGGAGAGTACACACAGGGTTGAGGGGCTGCCCACTGCACAGAGGGAAGTCGGTCCGCGCGGGGCAGGGCTGCGCCACACCCGGCCTCAGCGTCCAGCGCCTGGTGACTGCTGGGACCTGGTGCTGCCCCGGGGAGGAGGCGCCCCGCGTGTGGGGGCCCCAGAGCAGGCGGGCTGGGCTTACTGTGCAGGTTAAGGTCGTCTGCAGCCTGCCCCAAAGTGTCGGGAGCTGCCCCCTTCTCCCTCCCCCAGGCCCCTGGACAGGGTGCCTCTGGGGACCAAAAGTCTAGAGTCCTGTGTGTACGCGCATTTACGAAAATGTTGAAAATATCTTCATAATAAGGCAAAAGCTGATCATAGTCATTTAATCTTTGTTAAAAGCATCACAAATGATTTATTTTTAAAAAGGAAAAATAAGAAAACGCACAGCCGCTGTTATGTGCGTGTGCCAGTATGTGCGTGGCCCGATCCCGTGATGCAGGTGCCAATGCTGACAGCCTCTGACTCTGGGGTACACCTGGAGACCACATACACGGGACTCCAGGCCTATCGCCAGGTAAACCCGCAGGCCAACGAATCGATCTATGCGGTTATGCAGACGGGAACGAATTAGGTTATATCGGATGCCACCACATTCCCAGGTTCTTGGGTCCACACACCCAAATGTTCTTAATAGAAATAATAACATAAAATACAAGAAAACCACAAGTAACTAAGGAAAAACCTACCCAAACAGCTGAGAGAATTAACTCGAGTGGTCAAGGAAGGCCAGAGACCCACGGCTGGTTCCCTCAGGCACTGGTGAGGCTGAAGAGGGTGGAGGAAGGCCGCTGCAGGGACCTGCGCTGCCCTTGGACCTGAGGCCTGAACTGTGCTACAGTCTGTCCCTGTGTGTCTGACACCTGCTAGCGGTGGTGACCAGCTGGGGTGGGGTGGCCGGTAGGAGGCCCATCTCTGCATATGTGCCTTTGGAGATGCCAGCAGTGAGCGGGGACCTGGCAAAGGTCCCGGAGAGTCACGGCTTCCCACTGGCACGGGCCTTGCCAGCCCCAGGTCCCCAAATGTCCTGTCCCCAAGACCTTGAGAAGAGCTTACAGGGAACCTCTGGAGGAGGCGGTCCAGGAGCCCCAGCTGGAGGGCAGGCCGGGGAGGAGAGAGATTTGGGTCCAGCTGAGAAACCTCCACCCCCTGCTGACCCTAACCCTGGTTGTGTGGCCCAAGTGGCCCTAACCCTAACCTTGGCTTTGTGGCCCAAGTGGCTCTAACCCTAACCCTAACCTTGGCTGTGTGGCCCAAGTGGCTCTAACCCTAACCCTAACCTTGGCTGTGTGGCCCAAGTGGCTCTAACCCTAACCCTAACCTTGGCTGTGTGGCTCAAGTGTCCCTAACCCTAACCTTGGCTGTGTGGCCCAAGTGGCCCTAACCCTAACCTTGGCTGTGTGGCTCAAGTGGCCCTAACCCTAACCCTAACCTTGGCTGTGTGGCCCAAGTGGCCCTAACCCTAACCCTAACCTTGGCTGTGTGGCCCAAGTGGCTCTAACCCTAACCCTACCCCTGACTGTGTGGCTCAAGAGACTCTAACCCTAACCTTGGCTGTGTGGCTTCAGTGACTCCCTTTGTCCCTGTGGTCTTGGAGTCCCCACCTGGACCCCATGGGTCACTCAACAGAGGTGGAGTGCCGCGTTCATGCGGCACTGTTGTGGGCGGGAGGGCTCACCCTGGGCCCTCCACTAATGGGTCCTGCCTCTCTCCTGGGGAGGATGGTTAGGGCCCCCAAGCTCTGCCACGGGGCACAGGAGAACACGCGCACCTTCACTCAGACTCCCCGCCAGCGAGTCACTAGCCTGGACCCCGGTGTTCCCCACCTCAGAGAGGCTGTGGCCACCAAGAGCCCTGCTGGGAGGAGGGAAGCGGAGGGCGACGAGGAGGGGGAGGGGAGGGAAGTGCTGACTTCTGGCTTCAAGGCAAAAGGTGAGCTCCCCACGTCCTGTGTCTGAACGTGCACTAGCGTCCCTGATTCTAGGCAAGCTGGGCGAGTGGACCTCACGCTGCACTGGGGAGCGGAGGTCTGGTTCTGGGGACACTTCTGCTACCGTCTTGCTGTGACCTTGGGAAAGTCACTCCTCTCCCTGGGCCTCAGTTTCCCCTTCTTCTAAATGAGGGGCATGCTCCTGACAGCACTTCCAGCTGTGCCACCCTAACCCCTCCTGGCCTGGTCTCCACACGAGTCCTCAGGCGACATGGAGGCGCACCTGGGGCTGCCCCCACCTGCCACCCTTCTAGGGGCTGCTGGCTCCTTCCGTGGTGGAATGGGGCCGTTGGGTGGGAAAAGCCCCAGGGGCGCCCCCTGCTGGCGGAGCGAGGACCTGCAGTGCTGGGTCCCTGCGCCCACGCCTCCCCCAGCGCCCGGGAAACCAGGGCCAGCTTCTGGGCCTGGAGGGCGCCCTGGACATTCGGGGAAAGGGGCTCCCGAGAAGGGGCTCTGACGAAGCAACCCAGAGGCCACGCAGAGGCCATGAAATAGAAAGCTGAACCCCACCCCACGCAGCCAGCTACCTAGAGAGGTATTTACACGCCTGCACTTTAACGGGAGGTGGGACGGCAGCCCTGGAGGGTGGTGACAGGAGGGCCCGGCTCAAGTCGTCCTGGGCTTTGGAGGGGCATGGGCCACCTGAAGAGGGATGGCGGAGGGACGAGGGAAGCAGAGTCGGAAGGGGCCAGGCGCCCTGCAGGGACAGGTGCCGCAGTGCGAGTGTCTGAGTGGGTGGTGGTTCTTGCAGCGGGGCAGCGGGCGGGCTCCAGGGTGGACCGGCCTCAGCCAGTCAGGCCAGGCCTGGGCCGGACAGCCACACGTGGGGCAGCCGGGCGGCCTATGCGGGGTCCAGGGCAGAGCCTGCCCCAGGCGGGCCTGGTGTCCCCAAGGTGAGCCTGGCACTCCAGAGGGGCAGAGTTGGCTGCGCTCCAGGGCGTCCCGTGGGCCCGGCCGGGCTGGGATTGATAGGAGGGAGGAGTGCCTGTCACCTGGTGTGGGGACAGCTGGAGGAGGGGCTTTTCCGCAGGTTTCTGAGGGGATGTTGGTCCAGCTGCCGGCTTCGCTGTGGCTATGTGCCCCCACTGGGGATGGGACGACGGAGAGGAGCATGGGCGGGTTTGGCCATCAGCTCACCAGGTAGCTGTGCATCTCGCGGGAGTTGATGCTCAGGACCACACCGGAGTGGTTGCCTAGGAAACAGGAAAGATGGGCCGTAAGCACACACCCTGGGCTGGGGTACAGGGAGACGGGGCTGTGCGGGGACCGGTAGTGGCCTCAGCCAGTGCGTCAAGCCCAGGTGCGGGGGCAGCCTTGGAGCCCCTCAGCCTGTGCGGGGTGCAGGGGTGACTGAGGAGGGGCTCTCCCGGTGCCGCTGTGAGCAGTGGAGCCCGAGGGAGGGCCTGTGAGGTGAGGCCCCGGTCAGCCCCCACTGTGCCCACTGACCTGCACGGGGACCCCTGGCACCGGCAGCAAGGGGGCACGGGAGGGGCTGAGGCGTCGCCCCATCCTGGCAGTGGGAGCTGCAGGGCGCGGCGTGGTGAGGCCCAGGAGGCGAGAGCAGGAGAGAGGGCACAGCAACGTCAGCGGCAAGGGTGGGCGGGCGTCCTGGGGCCTTTCAGGGGCTGGGCCTGGGCCTCACTGTCTCACGCTCAAGGGTGACAGCGGCGCCCTGCAAGGACTGTCTGTGGGGCTGTGCGCGAGACGCACCTGCAGCACGAGGGCAGCACCTGCGCATGCTAGGCTCGATTAGACCGCCTCGTCCTGCCCGCTGCTCTTGTTCTGCAGGGGCTCGAAAGCAGAGAGCTGGCCTGTTGTCCTGGGTGCCCCTACCCCATCCACTGGGGAAGGCCTGGGTCCTCACAGGGTGGGGGCCGGTGGTGGGGGGTCCTGGGGTGCAGGGCGCTCACCCCAGCCTGGGGGCACACAGGCTGTGAGCCCAAGACCTGGTCCACCCTGGCTGTACCCCTGGTCAGCTGAGGTGAGGGCCTCAACTTTCTCGTCTGTAGAATGGACACAAAGTCAGTGCCTGCCTCACGGGGGTCAGACAGTGCTAAGCGGGGCCTGGCTCCCAGCGAGTGCTCGGCAAATGACAGCTATGATTCTTGCTGTTCCCCCACGCTACAAACACGTCCCGTGGCGGGGAACGCAGCTGGCCGGCGGATGTGGGAGCGATGAGCTGCTGTGTGGACGCCAGGGCCCCAGCGTGGCTGGGGTGACCAGCCAGTTCCATTCAGCTCCCGATCACTCTCAGGGGAGAGGTAAGGTCACAGGTTTTGGGGTCAGGCCCACCTGGGGCTGAGTCCAAGGTCAGCCACTGTCAGCTATGTGGCCCTGGGTAAGCGGCTCACCTGTGTCCCTTTCAATACTTTAAAATTCGAGGACAGTGATTCCCGCTCCTCACAGGCCTGGGGGTGTGTGGGTGCAGGACAGGAGTGGCCTTTAAAGCCGATGACGATGACTGCGCTGGCGGTGGCAGCGCTGTGTGCAGCTTCCTGCCCACTGGACTCTGCTCGCTGGGAGCCAGTGTCTCCCCAAGGGCAGGGCCAGAGGAATCGCAGGGCAAATCGTGGGGCTCTGGGGCCTGCTCAGATGGGGCTTCCAGCTCCCCACTAGCTGGGCCTTAGCAAGGATGGTTCATCCCTCTGTGCCCGAGTTCCTCATCTCTGGAAAAGAGCCTGCCTCCCCGCTGTGGAGCTGAGACCACCGTGGAAGGCACCCCGCAGCGCAGCCGCTGGCCGTGCTGCCTGATGCAGGGGCAGGGCGGGCGCTGTGGCTCTGCCAGCAAGTCTCAGACCCTCCAGGCCTCGGTTTCCCTACTTTTTCAGAGGAAGAGGCCTAGTGCCCATAGTGCTGGACTGTCTCACGCTCCACATACAGTTTGGCCCGGCCTTCCCCCCCAAGGGCCGAGTCTGTCCCCTCCCCTGAAGGTGGGCAGACCTACAGAGCAAGAAGCAAGCGACAGGGCCTGACGCCGAGGCCAGGCCGTGAAGGGGAGGCGGCCCCTGCCTGGCTGCCACGCTCTGCATTTGCGCTCAGAACTCTGCTGCCATGTTGTGAGGAAGCCCGCGCCACACGGAGGAGCCACGCGCGGGTGTTCCGGGGATAGCCCCAGGTGAGGGGGCTGACTACCTGCATTAATTGCCAGACATCTGAGTGGGGAAGCCTCTGCGACCACTGCAAACCCAGCCATCGACCGCAAGGCCACGAGCCACCCTGAGAGAGAACTGCCGGCGGAGCCCAGCGATCCCCAGAAACCGTGAGAGAGAATGGCCATAAACGTCACCGCACCACTGCGATGGTGGTTTGCCGTGTGGCCACGGACAACTCGGCTGCACTCTCCCACTGTGCGTGGCTGGGGTGATCGTGCCAATGAAAATGCTGTGCAAACTGTAAAGTGCTGTGCTGTATGTCCACGTGTGAGAAGCTCAGTGAGTCGTCACTGCCATGAACAGCAGGGCTGGCTGTGGGAAAAGGCTGCAGCAGCCCGGGGAAGCCAGCCCCGTTCCCATGCTTTCCCTGCCTTGGTGGGGCCGCACAGGGCTGCTTAGTCCCTGCCAGGCACAGTGCCCTCAGCTACCACAAGGCCCCTGAAGTGGTCCCTTCAGGAGGCCCTGGGGGCCCAGCACCCCGTCCTGCGGAGGGAATGCAACGGGTCGGCCTGGCCTGGTGTCCAGCCCCTGCTGGCGCCAGGCAGCGGGTGGGTGGCCTGCGGGAGGGCGGGGGCGGGCTTCCGGGCGGGCATTACCTAGACTCTGCAAGTCGAGACGGTCATCTACAAACCCCTCACCCTGGATGGTGCTCTGGACGTCCTCGCAGTGGCCCACGGGGCTTGTCATTTCCTGTTCCTTCTCGTTGTGCATCTGGGCGTACACGGTCCTGCCCGGGCGTTTCCTGCGGGGCGAGGGCAGGGGCAGGGCACTCAGCTCGGGGCGGCCACCAGGGCCCTCCTGTTCCGGAACCTGATTGGAGCCCCAGCCCTTTCGAGTATGGCGCCTGGGGACACCTGCAGGCCCTGCGGTTCTGTTCCTCTCCCCTCTCCACGCTCCCTCGTCTTCCCCTCCTCCTCTTCCTCCTCTTTGTCCTCTGCTCATCCCGGCCCTGCTACTTCTGAGGCCCCTTTTACAGATGAGGAAACTGGCTCAGAGCCCGTTGGCATAGGGCAGGGCCGAGTCCAGGTCTCTGGGACCGGCTCTGTCCTCTACCGCTGCCCTGTGGTTGAACGAGGGCCTGTGAGCCAGTGTGGAGGGTGCCCGGTGCAGGCCCTGCAGGGGCAGAGACGGCTCGGTCTTGCCTCGTTAGCCTGTAGGAAAGTGCCCAGTGGGCACCTGTCGGGCAGCCAGTGCCTCTGCGAGCTTGGAAACCAGGAAAGGCCACCGCCTGGACCCCGCTTCATCTCTGCCCTGCAAACTCCTACTCATCTTTCAGGATCCCCACCAGAAATCGCCTCCTCAGGGAAGCCCTCCGGGTGCTCCAGAGCAGCTCAGGCCGCCCCTTCAGGTGGAGAAGAGCAACCAGGCAGGTAACAAGCTGCTGGACATGCTTCCAGTCCCCCTGTCCCCCGCACCTGGGCCAGTCCCTGGCACCGTGGGCGGGTGTTGCGCACACATAGCCACTGCTTATAAGACAAGAGGTGCACAAAGGACAGAGGGCGAGAGGGGTGAGGGGTCCAGGGCCGGGGGAAAGGGCGGGGCATGGGGGCAGGGCCCTGGCTCCACACAAGCACTAGGAAGTGCGAGCCATCTCCTTCCTCGGACCTCAAGGGCGACCCCAACCGGGAGACGGAGGCCCCCGGAGCTGACCCAGCAGTGGGGTCACGCCTGGAGGCTGTGTTTGCAGGGAAGGAGCCTGGTGACACTGCCTGGTCACTGCGACTCATTCCCGGCTCCAGAGCCCAAGCGAGCTCAGACTGGCCCTGCCATGTGGCCACGACTCCTCCCAGCGGGGCCAGCTGCTCTGCCCGTTTAGAGATAAGGGCCAGGCCCGGGGGGGGGGGTGCCAAAGCAAAGCCCCTCAGTAAATGCACCCCGTCCTGCTGCCCATCAGCCTGCACACGAGCCCCCGGCCGCTCCCACCCAGGGTGTCCCCAAGCAGCTCTGTCTGGACACCCCGGAGCCTCTCCCGGTGCAGGGCCGGTACAAAATGCTGCACACAGGGAATGGCTGGATGGGAAACGAAGCACAGATGGGGCCAGGCCTGCATCAGCTGTGTGACCTTGGGCAAGTTACTTAACCTCTCTGAGCCTTGGTTTCCTCATCTATGAAACGGACCATGTCCCTCCATGAGGGTGAGGATGTCGGAGCTGCACGAGGTGGTGGCCGAGATGCCGGGCGGAGCGGAGGACATGGGCACTGGTTAGGTGGCAAGTGGCTGCTGTCACTCCCGGGGACCCTCAGGAGGCTCAGAAACAGGGAGGGCTGGGTGGGCTCGCGCCTTCCGGCCGCAGGTCAGTCTCAGGCCACCCCCTTCCCCGCTCTGGGGGGCCCACTGCCTTGGGGTCCCTTCCGATGCGCCGAGCGCCCGGCCGCGAGCAGCCCCGAGAGCGCGGCGAGCGCAGCGGGCCTTGCCTTTTGAACTTGTAGAGGATGAACGCGGCCGCCGCGAAGAGCCCGACGACGAACAGCACCGCCGCGGCCCAGTAGCCGCCGCCGCCTCCCGCCAGCCGCCGCGACTCTGCAAGCGAAGCGCCCGTTAGCGCCCAGGGCTGCGGGGAGGGACAGCGGGGCCCAAAGGACCAAGGGGCCTGTGCTCCGGCTTCGGGCCTCCTCCCCGACCCCCGCGTGCCGCCCTTCCCCGCGGTGCGGCCCGCCCTTTCCACGCCCGCGCAGGCCTGCACCCGCCAGGCCTCCTGACGCGCCCGGCGTCTCCACAGAGGAGAAAAGCTCTTCAGCTTTGGGGCAGCAAAGAGTCCTGCCCCAAAGGGAAGGACACACGAGTGACTGAGAGGACGGTTCCATGGAGGGGGCAGGGACAGAGGTCACCTGAGACCTGGGCATCGGTGCCGACGGCCAAGCGCGCCTGGGCGGCCGGGCTGGGACGGAGCGACTTCCTGGAGGCGCGTGCCCAGCAGGAGCGGCAGGCAGTGCCCAAGGCCCTGCGGTGAGGCACCTTGCCCCGGGCCGCCACGCCCTCCCATCCTGCAGGGGACGCAGGCCGGCCCAGGACTCTCACCTGTGTCTGTGTCCCTCAGGGCCACCAGGACCCGGACCCCGCCCTGCAGGAGGAAGCTGATTTTCTGTGACTTCAGCACCTGCTGGATGGCCGCCAGTCTCTGAAAGCAGAGTGGGGAGTGGGGGCGGGCCCTCCGGGAGAGCTGGGCAGACAGGCTGGAGCCATGGTCTGGGGGACACCTAGCCTCCCTCAGCCTCAGTGCCCTTATCTGTAAAGTGGGAATAATGACCCACCAGCCAACTTTCACCAAGAACCAATGATGGCATGCAAAGCTGACCCAGACATGGTCCTGTCCTCAAAGGGCTCACGTCTTAGCAGGGAACAGGTGTGAGAGAGGCAGGCCCCAGAGTGCGTAAATCTGGGGACATGCAGGGCTGCTGCAGGCGGCCCCCGGCAGTGGGCAGGGAAGGCTTTCCTGGGGTGGAAGACCAAGAAGAGGACATGAGGGGGCAGACGAATCAGACTCCACCTCAGGGAGGGAGATCCGGGAGGTGGTGCTGGATTGTGGGGTGGTGGATGCAGGTGGGGGTTCCGTGGCTGGAAGGGTGGTGGCTGGACAGCAGCCAGCCTTGTGGACCATGGTCACCCTCCTCCAGGGTCCTCTCCTGCTCCTCTCATCCCTTCGTGTGTCTCCACGCACCTGTCACCATCGGGGGCTAGAATGGCTTGGACTCTCGCCACACTAGTCATCTCTGTCCGTTTGCTGACAGCCATCTAACAGGTGGGAGGGCACATCTCATTGTGGCTCTGACTTGTATCTCTGAAGATCAGCCACGTTTGGCATTTATTCACATACCTGTTGGCCATTTGTGTGTCTTCTTTTGAGAAACGTCTATCCAGGTCCTTTGCCTACTCTTTGATTGGGTTACTTGCTTTCTTGCTATTGAGTCATTTTAGTTCCTTATGTATTTTGGAGATTAGCCCGTCAGGTGTGTGGTTTGAGGACATTTTCTCCCGCCCCAGGCTGTCACTTCACACTGTTCCTTGCTGCCGCAGCTGCGCAGGCGCTGTAGTTGGACGTAATCCCACTTGTTTATTTTCATTTGTGTTACCTGTGCTCTTGGGGTTGTATCCAAAACATCATTGAGACCAGTGTCGTGAAGTTTTCCCGTTTTTTTCTAGTAGTTTTACAGTTTCAGCCTTTATTTCACTGGAGTCAATTTCCGTATTTGAAGTGAGATAAGGGTGCAAAGCTGCTCTGCTGCCGTGAGTACTCGATCTCCCCAGCACCGTTCGCTGAGGACAGTCTCCTTTCCCCACTGTGTGTTCTTGACACCTCTGTCTAAACTCTGACTGTAAATGTGTGGGGTTGTTCTGGGCTCTCTGTTCTGTTCCTTTGGTCTATATGTCTCTTTTTACACCAATGCCATGCTGTTTTGGTTACTATAGCTTTGTAGTATATTTTGAAATCAGGTGTGTGAGGCCTCCAGTTTTTTTCTTTTTGCTCAAGATTGCTTTGTCTATTCCAGGTCTTTTGTGGTTCCACACACATTTTAGGATGTTTTCATGAAAAATGTCATTGGAATTTTGATAGGGATTGCATCGAATCTGTAGATCACTTTGGGCAGTACAGACATCTCAATAATATGAATTCTTCCAATGCATGAACACAGGCTATCTTTCCACTTATTTGTGTCTTCTTCAAATGTTTTCATTTATGGTTTATAATGTTCAGTGTACAGGTCTCTTACCTCCTTGGTTAAATTTATGCCTAGTTATTTTATTTTATTTTTTGGATAATACTGTGCATGTGCTTGCTTTCTTGATTTCTTTGGAGGGTGTGTGCTGCCCCTGCCTCAGTGCGGCCGCTCTTTCCTGGTCACCTGAGACAGCATCGGTCTCCATGACTAGTCCAGAGGCTACGTGAACTTCTGATTTATGTTTTAGAAATTTATGTCAAATTTATTCTTTAAAAGTGCATAACTCAGTGCTTTTTAATACGTCCCCAAATGTGCAGCCTTTGCCCTATCTAATTCCCAGCCACTCTCACCACCTCCCACAGAAGCCCCTGCCCATTAGCAGGCACCCGCGCCCTCCCCAGCCCGGCCCTCGCCCGTCTCTCTGTGGAGGGGCCCGTTCTGGACGTCCTGGGCCGTGTTAGTGACTACAGTCTTCTGTGACTGGCTCTCCCACTTAGCACGGGGTTTCCAAGGGCGCCACACGCCACGCCGTGGCAGGCGACGGCACTCGCGCCTCTGCGGGCAGAGACTGCCGCGTCTGAGCACAGACCACGCTTCGTTCTCCGTAGTCAGCGGAACGGCGGGCTGTTTCCACTTTTTGGCTCCGATGAGTGACTGGCGTGAGTCACGAGTCATGGCACGGACGGGCGTTTTCGTGTCTCCCGGGTGTGCGCCTAGCAGTGGGGCTGCAGGTCACCTGTAACTCCAGGGGCCACTCACCGAGGAACTGCCACACTGTCCTCGTGGCGGCCACACCACTCCTCCAGTGTGAGGCGCTGATTTCTCTGCTTCCCCGCTGGCACTTGGGACTGTCTGCTTTTTTATTTTAGCCACCCTAGTGGGCACGAGGGGGTTGTGATCCATCTTTGAGTCCTCTTCCTATACCTGCACCCAGCAGGTGTCCTGCCCCTCGAGAGGCTCCCTGGAAGTCGTCCTATGCAATAAAGATGTCTGCCCACTTCGCGGGGGCCGAGCTCTGCTCTGCCCTGACACCTGTGCCCCAGGTGTCCTCCGCATGGTGCTCCCACATTGCCCAGCACCTCTTTGCAGGCGGGCTGGGGGCGTGTGACCAGCTCTGCCAATGACACGGGAGAGGGCATGAGCGCATCTGCTGGGCCCCTCCCCCCGCCCCCTCTGTGGCAGTGGCTTTGGAGGCTGGTGGCTTCCAGCCCATGACCACAGGTGGAGGAGGGCCAGTGCCCTGAGTCGGGCCACGGCATGGTGGGAATACGCCTTTACGAGATGGGCCCTGCAGAGGTCCCTGTTGCCATGACACCAAGCCCTCACCTGTGCAGGGAGGACATGGCCGCAGGACATACCTTGTCACTTGTGAGGCTCCTCTTCCTGGTGGGCCTGGGCGGGGGAAGGAGCACATACAGGTCAGCTAAGGTGGGCAGCCCCGGCTTCACCACGGTCACCAGCAGCTCCTCGGGGACGCTGGTCTCCTGTGGGGACAGACAAGCCACTTTGATCCACCTGTCTTCCTTGTCTCCTGCCACATGCCGGCCCTACAAGCACCATTCCTTCCCTCTCGGCCGTCTGAGTCCTGGTCGTCTGTCCTGCAAGCCCTTCCCGACCCCTGCACGCCACGGACAGCTCCTGTGCCGTGCCTGCACCCAGGCTCCCCGGCCTCGGCCCTTGCATGGGTTGGGGCCTTTGCTGCCCACACCGGCTTCCCCGGAGCCAGGGCTGCCCTGTGCCTAGTCCTCCCACCGCGGCCAGCAAGAGCAGGGCCCTCCCTCGCTGGTGTCCTCCCAGACACTGGGCTGAGTCAAGGCTCCTTGCCACAGCGTTCCAGGCCCACCGCCTGGTCCCCCCTGCCCCCCCGGCTGCCTCCCGCTGCCTCCCCCACCAACCCGGCGCAGCCACACGCAAATCCCTCAACCCACGAGGCACTGCTCGTGTGGGTCCCTCTGCGACCTGGAGGTCCCACTCTACACACTTTCATCCTGCAAACTCCTATTCACCCTGCAGTGCCCAGGACAGCTTTACCAGCGTGTTCACAGGATGAGGGAAAGCACAGCCAGAGCAGCTGCCAGCCTGTGACGGCCGTGGACGGCCCTAGGGACTGGCTTTGTCTCACTAGGGAGCCAGGGCCTTGGTGTCCTACTGCCCACCCCGATGCCTGCCTGTCGGCTCCTGGGGGGTGTGGTCGCATCCGATCTCCCCGTCTCCAGTGTCCGGCCCAGAAAAGAAATTCAGTGAATGAACGAAAATCACTTTAGAGACTCTGGGGCCACTGGAGGATGGCAGCCGGGTCCTCTGCAAACAGCTGGTGCTCGCTAGGGGTGCGCCTTGTCCCTCCCGTGGGGCGGTGCTCCAGCTGCCAGTCCCCACAGGGCAGAGCCCCACCTGGCCGCCAGGCTCCCCCGCCAGCCTGCCTAAGGCCAGAGCTCCGTCGCCCGGGCAGCACCACCGGCCCGCCCTGCCCTGGGCACCCCAGGGCCCTCGAGCTTCTCTGGGGCCAGAGGCACCCTCGGGGCTGGGGAGGCTCCAGGCACCTTGGAGAGCAGCCGGGTGACCACCAGACCCACGTCTTCCCTCCACTCGGGCGTGTTGGGGTTGTTGGCATCCAGGTCCTTGGAAAACTGCAGGGGCACAACCTGAAATTGATCTGGAGAGAGGAGAGACGGGAGAGCTGACGCGTCCTGGCCAGCCTGCCTCTGGTCCCTCCGGGGAGGGCGGCCACATGTCCTGGTGGTCCCCAGGTTCGGCTCCAGCCCCAGAATCTCCTCAAGCAGGTCAGGCACCTCCTGATTTTGTGTTTGGGGAGCAATCTCCCTCCTGTGGGCTGTGCTGGGCAGGGCCCCTTCCCTGCTGCCATCTCCCGACAGCGCAGACGCCACACTGACGGGAGGGAGGCCTGGCGTGCGCTGCGCCCGCTGCGGGACGCCCCTCGACTATAGGGATGGCCCCGCCCCAGCGCCACCTCTCGGCCCTCAGGGACGTCACTTGGGCGGCCCTGCCAGCCTGAGTCCCTGCAGGGCAGCAGCCCCGTCTGCGCCTTGTCCCGTGTGTCCTGGGCTCGCACCCAATTCCAGAGTCCCCCAGAGCCTCAGAACTAGGCCGCAACCTCTCCTTTACTCCCTGAGTTTCGGTTTTCTCCCGTGTGGAGCGGGAAGAGGCTTTGTGGGGCTGAGAGCTCGAGGGGCAAGATCCCTGTGAACTGCCAGCCCTGCATCGCACAGCACGGGCCAGGTGGCTGCCGAGAAGCTCGTGGCCCAGTGGCGACGAAGGAACTGTCACGGTGGCCTTGACCGGGGCGCAAAGGGTCGGCGTGGCAGCCTGGCCCTCTACACGCTGCTCTGCTCACTATTTAACTGATGGCTGCTGCCCATAGCAGGGGCTGCTCGTACAGCAAGGCGAGGTTTTTATCGGTGTGGCGGGGCATGGGGACAAGAGCTTGCTGGTGGGTGTCCTCCAGGCTTGGGACCGATTCCTGCTGTAAACACCTCCTGTGAGGAGCCCCAGAAGCACAGGCCGGGCCCAGACGCAGCAGGGGCTCGGTGGGCTGCGGGAGGCCGTTCCCTTCCAGCTGCGCCACTCGCCACTCCGGGGGGCGCCGGGGCGGGGCCCCACCCTGGCTCCTGCTGCTGGGCAACCTTGTCAAGTCACTCAGCAACGCCCTCACTTGTGTCGTCCCATGAGTGCCACAGGACACAGGAGTTGTCAGTTCCGATTTACTGAGAGAGTCTGGGAGCCTTTGCCCAGGCCACAGAGCCAGGGTAGAGGGGTGCACACTCACCCAGCCCCTCCTCCCCAGCCCTGGGCCACCTGGGGAGGCCAGGACATCCAGGGCTGATGGACCCACGTGGCCGGACCCTGGGAAAGGACTCACCCAGCACGCGGATGACCCTGGAGTCCTGCAGCACCGAGTTCCCACAGGCGGCCTGCACCGTCACACGCACGTCCCCTGTGTCTGGAAACTGCGTCGTCACAGAGTTGTCCAGGGACAGGAGTGGCTGCAGGGCACAGGCGGGGTCAGGGTCTGGCCAGGAGACGCAGTGGGTGACAGGGACGCAGGCCCGAGGTCTGCTGCCCAGCCACACTGCGGACACTGCCCTGCCCTTGCTCTCTCCGGCCAATGGCCCGTCACGGGCGCTCTGCAGGGGCAGCAGCCGGCGGGCGTGCCGCCAAGGACACCTCGGTTCTAGCCAGCACAGCACGGACACAAGTCCCCTGGCGCCCCTCCTTCTACACGCGTCCCCAGGCCTCTCTTGTGTGGGCATTTCTGGAGCCTTAACTTGGCCCCTAGGCTGGGCCTCACCCCCCGGCCATGGGGCATCTTCCCGCCGCACTGCAGATGAGCTGGGCACCTTCATCCCTGTCACCCCGTTGCGGGCGGTGCACACTCAGCACAGGTGGTGGCAACGTTATCCCGAGACAGCAAAGGCTGCCCCAGCCCCAGAGCCGTGAGACGGAGGCTCTGAGAGGTGGAACGATGCGCACAGAGCAGAAGCTGGAAGTGGCTGGGCCGAGACCTGAACCCAGAGCCCGCCTCCTTCCTGGACCCTCCCCAGCCCCAAGGAAACACAATCTAGAGCCGACAGCCCCCCTTGGGCCTCCGTGTCTGGGCCCTCAGCTGCTATGGGGGCTTTCTGCTAGGGTGCAGGCTGCTGTTTGCTGAAAGAGTACATGGTGCTCCTCTTTGGTCCTGAGGCCCCAGCCTGAGGACAGACAGCCTCCCCCTCCCCCAGGCATTCTGCTGACTTGGGCTCTCTCCTGTTTCAGAACTGTCCTTGGCTCCCCACTGCTTTCAGGGCACAACTCAGGCCTCTGAGTGAGGCTTCTGAGATCTGGACCAGCTTCAGTGAGCTCCTCGGGTACCCACCCCCCGCCAGAAATGGCCTCCCCTTCCTGCAGCTCTTACACCCCACCTTCCCACTCCCATGACACTTGTCACACCTAACTCCAGTCAACCACTTTGTTCCCATCTCTCTCCCAGGAAAAGGCAGTGACTGGTCTGATTCATCTTGTGTACCCTGAGCAGATGGACCTCAAGATGCCTAGGGGTGGGTGTTGAGTGAAAGACAGACGGTGAGTGCCCCTCTCAACTGCCTCATGAGAGCCCCAGGGTGGGAAGTGCACCCTACACCATGTCTTTCTGCTGGACACCTAGGGCTGTGCCCCACCCCCACTCTGTACCCAAGCAGAGCCTGTGGGAAGGAAGCCTTGAGGGGGCCGGGCCAGCACACCTGCAGGCTGTGGCCGATCCACCAGTAGAAGACGGTGAGGTTGGGGTTGAGGGGAAGCAGAACAGCTGTGAGGTTCACCTCCTGGTTGATGCCGATGACAGGAACCACCTCCAGGTAGAGGGCCTGCAGTGGGGCTGTGGGGTTCCCCAAAAGGCCAAGGTTAGGAGGTATCAGAGCACAGGGCATTTCAGAGACTGCTTATTGGTCACTGTCACCATCAACATCATTGTTATTACCACCACCGCCACCACCACCACCATCATCACCTCCACCATCACCATCACCATCAACACCATCAAATCACTACCACGACCACCCCATTACCACCATCACCGTCATTATCATCATCACTATTAACATGACCATCACCACGACTACCATCACCACCCCCATCAGCACAATCAATATCATCATCACCACCACCATCACCATCATCACCATCACCATCATCACCATCACCGCCATCACCATTGTCACCATCACCATCATCACCATCACCATCACCACCATCACCACCTTCACCATCATCACCATTACCACCACCACCACCACCACCACCACCACCACCATCACCATCACCATTGTCACCATCACCATCATCACCATCACCATCACCACCATCACCACCTTCACCATCATCACCATTACCACCACCACCACCACCACCACCACCACCACCATCACCATCACCACCATCACCATCACCACCATCACCATCACCACCACCACCACCACCATCACCACTATCATCACCATCACCATCACCATCACCATCACCACCATCACCATCATCACCACCACCACATCATCATCACCACCACCACCCCCCTCACACTACATCACATCACCATCACCACCACCACCACCATCACCATCACCACCACCATCACCATCACCACCACCACCACCATTACCACCACCATCACCATCACTACCACCATCACCACCACCATCATTACCACCACCATCACCATTACCACCATCACCATCACCACCACCATCATCACCATCACCACCACCATCACCATCATTACCACCATCACCATCACCACCATCACCACCACCACCATCACCACCACCATCACCATCACTACCACCGCCATCACCACCATCACGACCACCACCATCATCACCATCGCCACCATCACCACCACCGCCACCATCACCACCACCATCATCACCATCACCACCACCATCACCATCATTACCACCATCACCACCACCATCACCATCACTACCACCGCCATCACCACCATCATCACCATCGCCACCATCACCACCACCATCATTGCTATCATAATGATCACCACCTCTACCATCACCATGATCACCACAATCACCATCACCATCGCCACCATTACCACCACCACTACCACCACTACCACCATCACCACCACCACCACCATCACCACCATGTCCATCACCACCATAATTGCTATCAGTATCACCATCAACACCACCAGCACAATCATCACCATCACCACCATCACTATCATCACCATCACCACCACCACCATCACCATTGTTGTCACCACTACCATCGTCATTGCCACCACCCTACATATCAATGGTGCGAGCTGAGCCCAGCCTGCCTGCCTCCCAGCCCTTGGGCTCACCATCCTAAGTACTGGGACCTACAGCAGCCCCAAAGACCCCCATGTGCTTCCCCAGGAGCCAGGTTCTCTCTGTCACAGGGAGCAACTCCCAGAGGGACCTGGGGGTGGACTTACAGTTGACCTGCACAAAGAGCACCGCCTCGTCGTGCCCCGCCATGTTCTCTGCCCTGACAGACACGCGGTAGACACCAGGGCTCTCGTAGCGGTGCCGGATGGGCTCCCCAGTCAGCGTGAGGTTCACGTACATGGCCTTGAAGCCATCCCCAAGGTCTACCTGATACTTGGTGGTCAGGACATCACCCTGCAAGGAAACACCATGTGGCCACTCAGGAGTGGCCGTCAAAGCTCAGGGGCCGGCAGTGCTCATTCCCTCATGCACTAATCTACTCCCTCCTTCCCTTGAAATGGGTGGGGTGGCTTTGGGAACCCACAGGGGACCAAACCTGGCTCTGCCTCTGAGATTCCAGCCCAGAGCACGGGGCTGACACAGGCAGCCCGGGAGCATTTGATGGGGGTCCTGGGCCAGGTTACATCTCAGAACAATTGCCCAGAGGTAGAGAGGGACAGCCGAGGGCCCAAGGGTGACGTCAGGGAGCAGTTTCGCGGGGGGGTACTGGCTCTGGGAAACCCGCTGAGGCTTGCGCCAGGCATGGGGCCAGGGTGTGAGAAGGGGCCTCCCACAGCGAAGAGGGTCTCGCGTTGCCACGGGGAAGACGGCCGTGACCGGAGACCCTTAACCACTTCGGCACGGCGCTCACCAGCCACGACACCTCGCCCACAGCCGGCACTCACAGTGCGCACGTAGCTTGTGCTGTGCATTGACAAGTCCGTCTTGCTCTTGTGTGATGAGGAAAGCTTGAAAGCACTGAAAGCTTGTTTTACTTTACAGGCAGCTTTACTTGTAAATTTACGTTATTTTTAAATGTTCACAATTTTATTTTAATAAATGAAAAATTAGGAAAGTCATATCACGGCTGTCAGCTACAGTCGCTGTGCGCATCCATCTGTGGCTACCGACCATAGTCGACGCTCGTACCGAAGTGGTTAAACAGTCTCCCAGGAAACACAGAAGATGCGGTTTCCCTTCTATGATGCTGCGGTTCCTGCTTTCCCTTTTATCTCGTGCTCTGCAGCGAGAGTGAGGGCCACACGCAGCGGGTCTGTGCAGAGAGCATGTCCCACCAACGGCCCCTGCAGCATGTGGTCACCCGCACACGCTGCTTGTCACCTTGCGCACCCCCAGCCACGGGCGTTATCCGCCAATAGGCACGTTTCCCTCGGGGTTGGGGGTTGAGTGAAGGGGGCGGTAAGGTCTGCAACTTCAGAGCAAGACAGAGTTCTTACATCAGTCGCCCCCTCCTCCGCCCTTCCGCCCACTGCTGCTTTCTGTAAGTACCCCCATCAGCACACCCAGGAAACCATCTCCTTGTGAGCAGGGACGAACAAGATGATGACTGACCATCTAGCAATCTTATTTTACACCTGCCAAACTGCAGAGGTTGGTAACTGCTTTTACATCAACTATGTTCATTTAACTTCGCCACAGACTGTGGCTGACTAGTGTCTCCCCAAGAACCTCAGAATGTGACTCGTTTGGAAACCGGCCTTGGTGGATGTACTTAGTTGGCATGAGGTCGCCTGAGTAGGGCACACCTGGCCCCCATGACCGGCGTCCTGGTGGCGGAGAGGAGGGGAGGTTTGAGGCGCAGGGAGGAGGCCGTGTGGACCTGGATGCAGAGCCGGGAGTGAAGCTGCCCCGAACCCAGGGCCGCCTGGGGCCGCCAGGAGGGCAGGAGGTAAGCACGGGTCTCCGCCTTAGCCTTGCGCATCCCGGAACCCGACCGGCGGGTGCCGCCGTATCCCCGCTCTGCAGGTTGGAAGACTGAGGCCGAGGCTCTCGGAAGCCCAGGACCGGGGGCTGCTCCCCGCCCGTCGCCCTCTGTGTCTGGGGGCAGCCTGGGGGGGCGCGGAGAAGGGCTCAAGGCCCACTGCTCCCATTCCCATGGCGGCAGGGTTTCCTGGCGGCGCCCGGGCAGCGGGGCACGTCTGGCCTGGAGCTGGGCGCTGTGGTCTGCCCACCTGGGTGAGGACTCTACACGCATTTACTCCGATGTTGCACTGGGTTAAAGCAACTTGCCGTTTTTTTCCTAATTACAAAAGTAGCACGTTCTCAACACAGAAAAGACAGAACATACAAAGATCGAAGCAAAAGCAAAATCTCACTGTAGTGCCCACCGCGAATGCCTCGGTACATTTCATTCAGATCTACTTATATCACCGAGGGCTTGCGAAGGAACGCAGAGGTGTCATTCTGAGATAACGGCGGATTCACGCGCTGCGAGGGAGACACAGGCTGGGCCTTGCCCCCCCCCGCGCCGGGCCCTGGACCCTCCGCCCGGCCCCGCCCCCCGCGCCCGGCCCTGCCATGGCTAACGCCTCGCGAAGCGGTGACGTGACGACGAGGATGTCCACACTGACACAGACGACGTGACCGCCGCCAGGATCGCTCCGGCTGTCCCGCGGACACGCCCACCTCCCCTCACCGTCCCGGGCCCGGGGCAACCCCGGCGCCTCCCCGCTGCCGGCGAGGCGCTGCACCTGCTGAGCGCAGCCGCGGGAGTGCGGCGTCCTGGCGGCGGGGCCACTCGGCATGGGGCACTGGCCTCTGCCCTGCCTTTCGCGAGTCTCTGGCCCTTACGAATGAAGCTGCTGCGAACATACGCAAACGGTTTCCACGTGAGCATCGGCCTCATTTCTCGGGGACAGGTGCCCACGAGCGCGAGTGCTGGTCCAAGTCAGTTTTCAGAAGAAACTGCCGAAGTGCGCTCCAGAAAGGCTGTAGCATCTCCCACTCCCGCCTGCAATGTGTGGGGGACCCAGTTTCCCCGCATCCTCGCCAGCATTTAGTGTTGTCGCTGTTTTTCATTTTAGCCTTTCTGGTATGTGTGCAGTGGTGTTCACCTGCGGTTTTAATGTGCTTTTCCCTGACGGCCGGTGATGCCGAACATCTATCCAGGTGCGACGGCCATCCGTGCATCCTAGCGGGAATGAAGGGTGTGCCATCCCCGCACGCGCTGCATTGGCGTATGCATTAGTTTGGGTCAGAAACCCTGGAGAAACTGTAATCTCAGAAAGGCGAGCCGCCTGCCTTCCTGCACACAACATGCGGCAGGCTCCGCCGCGAGGGTGCCCTCCCTCGGGGGGAGGACAAGCGGGGCCCCCAGGGGCTGCGAGGGGCCTGAATGGACACACTTAGTGGAGAGCCCCTACCGTCCACCCGCGCCGCACCCCGGCACATCTCGTGGCTCCCCTAGGAACTGTCACTGCCCCAGCCAGAGTTCTCTCTGCCCATCATTCATTTTCAGATGTATCATTCGTTGTGTAAAAGTATAGAAGCTTCTTGCTTTGGTGACGCGGGCTTCACTGTCTTTTGAAGGTCCCCTGCACGTGTGACACTAGCATGACGTGCCTGCCTCTCCCTGTTCCTCTGTGGGCGTCAGGGTGGACTCCAGACCCACCCAGTGCGGGGCTCGGGCGGACTGTCTCTGGGTCTTCTGTCGTTTTCCAGTTGCATGGTTCGCTTCCTCGCTGTTGAGTTCCGAGCGTCCTTCAGGCGTGCTAGGTACTAGTTGCAGGACGCGCTGCAGGTACCCCACCCTCAGCCTCTTTCTCTTAACGAGGGCGTTCCACAGAGCCAAGGTGTCTAATTTTGATGGAGCCCCGTTTGTCAGACTTTCCTTTTATGGATTGTGCTTTTAGTGTCAAATCTAAGGACCCTTTTCTAGTCCTGGATCCTGAATATTTTCTCCTATGGTTTTTCTAAGAGTGTTATGACTTTCACACTTTACATTTAAATCTGTGATTCATTTTGAGTTGATTTTTATCAGGTGTGAGGTTCAGGTCGCAGTTCATTTTTATTGTATAAAAAAGGCCATTCTTCCTTCAGTGAGCTGTTTTTATACCTATGTAAAAAACCATGTGGGCGTGTTTGCATAGGTCTATTTCTGGATTTCCTGTCACATCTTATTTTTAATTCTTAGATATTTACAAAACTTGGACTCTCCTAAATCCAGTGCTATTTCCAAGCCTAGCATGGCCTGTGTCTGAGTGTGTGTAGAAGTGCACAAATGTGTCTGCGAGTGTGGACAAGTGTGCATGAGCATGAATGTGAATGTGTGTGAACACGTGAGTGTACAAGCGTGCATGTCCCCGGTGCACGTGTGTGCATGTGTGTGTCCACCCCAACCCCATGTTCCACACCCCTTCCCCAGGGCAACAGCAGCTCCTTCGAGAGGTGCCCCAGGAACCCTGACTGCTGAGAACTTCTCTGCCACTAGCATCTCTGGTCGCCCTCCTGACCTCCGCAAACTCAGTCCCAGCAATGGTCCCAGCCACTGGGCGGGTGGGGACACTGGCCCCTGGGCTGGCAGCTTGCTGGCGGGCTCCATTAGGAGACTCTGGGACAAGACTGACTGGCTCAGATGCTGGGCTCTAGGGGGCAGCAGAGGGCCATTTTTCCTGGAGGTCTGGGTCAACTCTGAGGGTCCATGTGACCTCAGGCCAGGCAGGGAGCTCTGTCCTCCTGGCACCCCAAGACGCGACTGTGAACAGAGGGCCCCACCTCCACCCCAGGTGGCCCCTCGGCTGAAAGTGTGACTTTCAGGACAGTCTCAATCAGCGTGGGCACCTGGGACAGGTGGGGACCGGGGATGGGTGGGGAATTGGAGCCTGCACCACGGAATGGCTCAGGCCTTGGGGCCCCAGACCCGGTCTCTGTCCACTCGGAGTCCCGAGGCCTGGGACTCATTCCTGTGTGGCCTTAGGAGAGTGACTGCACCTGAGCCTCAGTTTCCCCACTCAGCTCTAAGCCAGGCTGACAAGAGCGCACCATGTGAGGTTGTGCAAGGAGTGTAGGGAGTAGTGCCGGATGCAGAGGTACTTGGCAGGCACAGCTCTGTGTCCTCTTCTGCCTCAGTTTCCCCGTTTGCACTAGACCAGGCTCCCTGCTGTCCTATTCCAAAGACCTTTGTCATCCTCATCCCACCCCACCTTGGCACAGTATTTTTAAAAGCTTTTATTTTTACTATTCATCTTGTTTTGAACTAGATAGTTACTGGAAATATTGTAATGCCTTTTTTTTTGAGATAGCGTTGCCTTGCTCTGTTGCCCTGGCTGGAGAGCAGGAGCGTCATCATCGCTCACTGCAGCCTCTAACTCCTGGGCTCAAGCCATCCTCCTGCCTCGGCCTCCTGAGTAGCTGGGACTACAGGTGCGCACCACCAGGCCTCGGTTAAAGTCTTTACTTTTTGCAGAGATGGGATCTCACCATGTTGCCCAGGCTGGTCTAAGAACTCCTGGGCTCAAGTGATCCTCCTGCCTCAGCCTCCTAGAGGGTTGGGATTATAGGCATGAGCCACCGTGCTTGGCCAGCATATATTTTGAAGGACATTTAAAGGAAACACACACAGTCATGAAGCCACACTCGCTGCCTTCCCCACATTTGTTAGCCAAAGATCTGGACGCCTGCAGAGCGGTGCGCAGGGCAGCGTGGAGTCCGGCCTACGCGCTCTGGGGCTGGCAACAGGGGCGTCGGCCGCTCCTTTGTGCTTTTCTGTAGTTTTGAATTTTCTGCATATCTGTAAGTTTTTCTAGTTTTTGGTTTTGAATTTCCTACAGTAAGAACTAGCTAATTCCATAATCAGGGAAATAAACATGCCACAGATTAACTTAAAAAGACTAGAAGGAAATATGCAATATAAATAGTTGTTACCATGGAGGACCAGGATTTTTTGGTGATATTTATATTCTTGATATTTTTTATGTGTTTCAAAATGTTCTACAATGAACATATATTATTTTTGAAATCAGAAGAAATGTAACACTTGTTCTAAGAAAAAAGAGAGCTGGGAGACTGGAGGACGCGTGTATCTATATCCGTGTGTATTTATGTCTGTATCTTCACACACACGGAGTTTATCTTTGGTTGTGTAATTATAAGTAATAGGTGCTTTTAACTTTCTGCTTTTCTTACCATTCCAAATTAACTAAATCAATATAATTAGAGGTTTTAAAAAATCCTATAGCCACCCACCAGAAGGAGTAAATCTTACACCACAGCCCAGCAAACACGCACACAGCACCCCTGAAGCCACGCGGACCTCTGACGGCACACGCTGACACTCCCGTCCAGTCTGCCACCTCCCAGTCTCCTGTCACGCTAATGTCGGCTTCCCCTCCACCCGTGCCTCCTGCTGCCTGGAGCAGGCTGTTTCCACGGCAATGCCCTGAGCTGCTGGGGGGAGGGAACAGCTCCCCGTGCCTGTCCCCTCTGCTCTCCCTGCACACGGTGCCCACTCACCTGCTCCTGCCGCACCACGAACAGCACGTCCTCTCTGGGCCTCACGGCCACCGCCTCGCCACGGATACTGACCTGCAGGCCCCGGGGTGGCGTGAGGGGGCACTGGAGCTGCACTGGGCTCTGCTGCAGGTCCACACCACCCTCGCACACATTGGACACTGCCTTGCGGTACCTGGGTGGTTTGAAGGAAAATACACTTCTCTAAGGGCTGCACCACCCCTAGCACCTGCACTGTGCAGATGATGTGAAATGACGTCCTTTGTCCTTGATACAGGTCCTGGCTCTGACACTTCAGACTAGTCCCTGCTTGCCAAGCCCTGGGATGCAGGAGAGGCCACTGCACCTGCTTGAGAGATGGATGGGTGGATAAATACATGGATGGATGGACATGGATGGATGGACTGAGAGATGGATGGATGATGGATGGATACATGGATAGATGGGTAGATGGATCATGAATCACTGGAAGGAAGGATGGATGGAAGGACAGATGATGGATGGATGAGAAGCTGGATGAATGGATGGACAGATGGATGGATGATGGATAAATGGATGGATGGGTAGATGGATGAATAGATGATGAATCATTGGAAGGATGGATGGAAGGACAGATGATGGATGGATAAATGAAGGTAGATGGATGGATGGATGAGAAGTTGGATGAATGGATGGATAGATGGATAAATGGATGGATGGGTAGATAAATGAATGGATAATGAATCACTGGAAGGATGGAAAGACAGATGATGGATGGATGAAAAGTTGGATGAATGGATGGACAGGATGGATGGATAAATGGATGGATGGGTAGATGGATGAATGGATGGTGAATCATTAGAAGGATGGATGGAAGGACAGATGATGGATGAAGGTAGATGGACGGATGGAAGGGTGATGGATGGATGGATGAGAAGATGGATGGATGGATAACTGGATGGATGACTGGATGAGTGGGTAGAAGGCAGGGTATGTGTTGTTGAGGCCAAAGCCTGTACTTCCTGGGCCTACTCCTGTTTCCTGGTCCCCAGGGGGAGTAATGGGGATTTTCAAATGAGCCCACAGGCTTTCCCTTCCTCTCTGAACACTTCGTCACAGAAAAATGGGGAAGTGGGACCTTCAGATGGAGCATGTTTGGGATCTTCCAAAGCTGAGGTTCCCAGCCCTTACGCACCTACCATATTTATATGAAGTTAATCCTTTATAAGCAACATTCCCAGCCTGTGGTGGAAAAGTGTCATGATGGCTCACACCTGTGGGCACTGTCCCCTGGAACACAGCTTGTATTTATCACTCTCCAGACAGAAGGAACAGCCACCATGTGCCATGGGCTTGCAGCCCAGCAGGGAGGACCATTAGGTGAGTGATGGCAACAACTGGGATTTGTGCTATGACAGAATAAGCTTGGGACATCAGGTGGGTGGTCAGGGAAGGCTTCCTGGAGGAAGTGCTGTGTAAACTGAGACCTACAGGCAGCATGAGCACCTCCAGCCCCCAAGTGAGGGCCTGGCTCACTGAGCGTTGATAAGTAGGGGACAGTCTGGGCACTGCAGAGGCTCAAAAGGAACAGGGGAGGGGTGCGCCTCTCTGGGTGGGCTTAGCTCTGTAGCAGGTGTGAGCCACAGGGCACCTTGGACCTCTTCTGTCCAGTGTTCTCTGTACAGAGCCAACTCAAGGAAGTGTCCCCTGATGCTGGCTCACACGGGTGCAGATGGCAGAACCCTGTGGACTTCTTGGCCTGGGAGCCAAGTTCATTCATCGGCGCCTATGGTGGTACACATGAGCCCTGCCACCAGCTTCTGTGTCCTGAGTACAGGATGTGAGCCCTGCCACCAGCTTTTGTGTCCTGAGTACAGGATGTGGGCACTGCCACCAGCTTTTGTGTCCTGAGTACAGGATGTGAGCCCTGCCACTTGCCTTTGTGTCCCAAGTACAGGATGTGATCCCTGCCACCAGCTTCTGTGTCCTGAGCATAGATGTGAGCCCTGCCACCAGCTTCTGTGTCCCAAGAACAGGATGTGAGCCCTGCCACCAGCTTTTGTGTCCCGAGTACAGGATGTGAGCCCTGCCACCTGCTTTTGTGTCCTGAGTACAGGATGTGAGCCCTGCCACCTGCTTTTGTGTCCCAAGTACAGGATGTGATCTGTGTCCTGAGTACAGGATGTGAGCCCTGCCACCAGCTTCTGTGTCCTGAGTACAGGATGTGAGCCCTGCCACCAGCTTTTGTGTCCTGAGTACAGGATGTGAGCCCTGCCACCAGCTTTTGTGTCCCAAGTACAGGATGTGGGCACTGCCACCAGCTTTTGTGTCCTGAGTACAGGATGTGAGCTCTGCCACCAGCTTCTGTGTCCTGAGCGTAGATGTGAGCCCTGCCACCAGCTTTTGTGTCCTGAGTACAGGATGTGAGCCCTGCCACCAGCTTTTGTGTCCTGAGTACAGGATGTGAGCCCTGCCACCTGCTTTTGTGTCCCAAGTACAGGATGTGAGCCCTGCCACCAGCTTTTGTGTCCCAAGTACAGGATGTCAGCCCTGCCACCTGCCTTTGTGTCCTGAGCACAGGATGTGAGCCCTGCCACCTGCTTTTGTGTCCCAAGTACAGGATGTGAGCCCTGCCACCTGCCTTTGTGTCCTGAGCATAGATGTGGGCACTGCCACCAGCTTTTGTGTCCTGAGTGCAGGATGTGAGCCCTGCCACCTGCTTTTGTGTCCCAAGTACAGGATGTGAGCCCTGCCACCTGCCTTTGTGTCCTGAGCATAGATGTGGGCACTGCCACCAGCTTTTGTGTCCTGAGTACAGGATGTGAGCCCTGCCACCTGCTTTTGTGTCCCAAGTACAGGATGTGAGCCCTGCCACCTGCTTTTGTGTCCCAAGTACAGGATGTGAGCCCTGCCACCTGCTTTTGTGTCCCAAGTACAGGATGTCAGCCCTGCCACCTGCCTTTGTGTCCTGAGCACAGGGCGTCGTCAGCCTGACTTCTCTTTTCCTGACTCTGCTCGGGAGCTGCGGGCAGCAGTGGGGACGCGGCTGGGGTGCACGCAGCTCCGCCCTGTGTTCGGGCGAGGAGAGGCCCCGCACACACACTCACCCAAGGCTGCTGGTGTAGGTCTGGCCCAGGGCACAGTCGTCAGGCGGGGACAGTGGGTTAAACCAGAAGTTAGCAGAGCACTTGTTGGCTTCGGACTCTGAGGAGGGGGAGCGCTCAAACCCGTAGTCGCTGGGAGGAGAAGGGACAGTGATCAGGAACCACGCACAAGTGGGGCCAGAGCCAGCCAGCATGGGAGTGGCATTGTGGGGGCTGGGAAGGGAACCGCATGCCAAGGGCCTACTACCTGCCATCTGCGGGGACACGGAGGAGAACCCATGATCCTGTCCCAGAGGGGCAGACAGGCCTGAGAACTGACAGCTACAGTCCAGAATGACAAGGGATGCTGGGAACTCAGAGGAACCTGGAGGGCTTCCTGGAGGAGGTGAGCAAATCTCAAAGGATGAGCAGACACAGGCAGAGGAAGTAGGGAAGAGGTGCTTCGGGCAGGGACCGGCCTTGTCAGTGCAGGTGCAGGGAGGGACGGGCAGAGGTGGTGGAATGTCAGGAAGCAGGGGTGAGGTGGGGAGGCGAGTGGGTGGGCCAGAGGCCTCGTGAGTGACGTCCTCCTGTGGGCAGCGGGCAGCCACAGGTGGCTTCTGAGTGGAGCAGGGCCGGTCGGGGCTGTCAGGAGAGCGCTGGGAGCAGGAGGGCTGGGGTGGCACGGCTTGCCCAGCATGCTGGCCGCCCCGCCTGCTCCCCACTGGGGGAGGCCACCCCCGCGGCTTTAAAAATGCATCAAATTCCTGATGCTCCTTCCAGCGGGAGCTGGCCTCAGTGACCAAGGGGTGGAAGAGAGCGAGTGGCGGCGGCCGGACGGCAGGTCACGGCGGGCACACGGCCCACGCGGGAGCACGCCGCGCTGCGGGGCACGGCAGCCCTGTCGGCCTGAGCGCGCTGCTCACCAGAGGAAGTCGGAGTCGCGGCACTCACACACGCGGGACGTGAGCGCCGACGTGAAGCTCCTCCCCTTGATGCACCAGGATGTGGATTTCCTTTTCCGGAAACTTCTCTGCTGGCCCATGATGCAGCGGTCGCCCTGCAGCAGGAACGTGGGGGTGAGGGCCCGGCGCTAGCTCTGCGCCGGCTCGTGCTGCTGACCGGCCTGTCCCGGGAAATGCCGGTTCCTCAGGCGGCAGTGGGCAGGCAGTGCCCCCTCACAGATGGGGAAACTGAGGCCCAGAAGGGGAAGCGGCATGTCCAAAGTCAAGCTGAGACAGTGTCCTTCCATCCCAACCCACAAGCATTCATTAGGCACCTTCTGTGTACAGCCCGGGCTGGGCCCTGAGGGGTCGCATAGCTGGGAACGCAGTCAGTCCCCCTTTAAGGGCCGCTCTGCACCCCCCAGGCCCGAGGGCGCCAGGCCCCGTGCCGGAGACAAGCCACGGCCTCGAGGGCTCGTGCGCACACAGTAGGTCCTCAGGGGAGGAGAGGGGAGGCCCCACCCCGGTGGGGCCGCGGTGGCAGCAAGGGCCGAGCCACGCCTCGCTTGGCCAAGCCGGAGCCAGGCCCTCCCGGCCATCGTGCCAGCACGATCCAGCTCAGCGCAGAGCCCGCCCCTCCGCCTGGCGAGCTCCGCCCCCCGCGCCTCATTGCGGTCCTCACCCGCCTCCCCCCAGGAGGTGTCTGGTCACCCTGGCCTGCCTGCGGCCCAGGTCCGCCTCCCCCGCAGTGCCGTCGGCCACGGCCCGCCCTGCGCCTTGGCTGGCAGCCCCACGTGCCGCGCTGCGCTCTCGTTGAGCCCAGCCTCCCCCCGCGGTGGCCCCTGCACGGGCGCAGTGGCCCTGGACGCAGCAGGTGCCACTGAGGCATCCTTTCTTTTACAGTGTCCCACCCCCGACCCCGGCATCCCAGGCTTCCCGGTCACAGCCCCACTGGGGCGAACTGGAGCTTGGTGGCCTTATTTCGTTCTCCTGGGAAGGCGGGGGATTCTGAGGACTTCTTGGAGGAGGTGCCCCAGCCTGGCGGGGAGGACACAGCAGGCAGAGGGGGCCCCGCCCGCCCAGCCCGCCCGCCCCACCTGGAGGTCGGTGAGGTCCCAGGAGCTGTAGTCGTCCTCACTGCACTGCCTGGAGAACGAGGGCCGGAAGTCCACCTTGACGAGCTCCCAGTCCGAGCGGAAGCTGATGTGGCCGAAGACGCTGGGGAGGGACGAGGAGGCAAGGGGAGAGGCCAGCTCAGCCCGGCCGCGCTGTGCAGGCTCTCCCCACCCACGCAGCCCCCGCCGCACACCGGGAGACTCGTCCCGCCCTGCTGGGGACCGGACCTTGCCGGCCTCGCGGGCGCTCGGCAGGCCTTGGCATTAGCGTCCCCACAGTGACCACCGTGATCTCTGGCCCGTCAACTGCACTGGCATGGGCCATCCGTCCGATCCCCACGCCTGCCCCTCGAGGGGCAGGGAGACAGCTCGAGGCTGGGCCCGGCCTCCTCGCCTCCGCCAGGGCCCTTTCTCGCCCCACGTGCGACTCTCAGCCAGGCTGAGCCTGGCCCTGCCGTCTCCTGCTCCTGTCGCCTGGCCGTGCGGCCTTCTGTGCTGCAGAAACTGGCTGCTGCCGCGGGGCTGCAGGGCGCTTGCTCCCACATGCAACTGGCCTCCCAGGAGACATGGCGAGCCGTCGGGCCGGACTCAGAGCGGGCGGGCGAGGAGGGTCACGTCTCAAGCAACCCACATGGCCCAGTGAGGCGAGTCCACCGCCGTGCTACAGACAGCAAAGCCAGGGCACAGAGAGGGCGCGCGACTTGCCCAAGGTCACACAGCCTGTGCTGGTCCTTATCCTCTGCTTGGCGGTCAGGAGTCATTTGCTGAGCATGCCCAGATCTTTGCCTTTCAAGAGGGCCACTGCCTGAGGGGCTTCCACTCAATCCCCCAATACCTTACGCTTGGGGTCCAAAGACCACCCCAGAAGAGGGGCCCAATATGCCTTTCCCCGGTCCTTCTCCAGTCCAGCTTACAATGCTCTGGCCATATTACCAGAGGCCAAGCATGTGGATGGAGGAGGTGATACACCCTGCTCTGGTCTTGACCCCTGTCTGAACACCACCAGCTGGATTCTCGGGGAGCGGCGATCACGCTCTGAAGGGACTCAACCCCCATTGTGGAGTGGTGCTGAGAAAGGAGATGGAGTGTGTTCTTAGGGATACGAAGGCTGCGTCTGGATGTCTGGGGCTAATGGTTGAAGAAGGGGCTTGGCTCCACGGGGCTCCCGAGTCAGGCCTCGGCACCCCGTTTCCCGCATGTGTGACCCTGGGCAGGCCCAGCTCCCTGCTGTACCTCAGTTTCCTTGGCTTTAAAGTGGGCACAAGACGACCGGCGTTTCAGGATTGATGTCGGATTAGTGACGGTGTGGGCAGGGTGCCCGGTGCACAGTGGAGCTTCACATGCGCACACACGCGCACACACGTGCACACACGTGCACGTCAGCCCCGCTCCCCAAGGCCGCGTCACGAGGGGGGTGGGGCCACCTTCACTTCACAGATCTCACCCGAGCCTGTGGCGCCGCGCTGGGCCGGGCCCCCTGCCGCCCGGCAGCCGCCGCCTGTCCTGCCGAGGGCGGGCTCCGTGTGTGCGGCTGTGTCCACCCCGTGTCCTCGCGTCCCCGCCCGTCACTGCTGGCCCTTGGGGCTGGGAGGTCCCACTGGCTCTCGGTGTAGCCCTCATTCTGGAGCCACCAATGCCGGTGGCTCCTCTTCCCCGCGCGAGTCAGGAGCCCTGCCCCGCCCTGCCCCGCTCGGAGCCGCGGAGGGAGGCTTGAGCATTGGCCTGGGACTTCTCCTCGCTGCCGGTGACACAGCCTGCCCAGGACAGGGTGACGTCCCTGGGCCTGGCCTCTACTCTGCCTGTCCAACGGCTCTTCCAGGCACTGTTTCCAGCAAGGAGTCTGGCTTTGGCCCCGAAGCGCTTGCGATTTAGACGCCGTCCTCCTGCTGTCTGTCCCCTGCCATGTGGACAGCCCTCGCTCCGGAGGATGTCAGCACCCTGAGGACCAGCTGTTCAGCATGGTCACCCACACAAGCCTGGCGGCTGGTCATCAGGACAGTGTGGGGCCTGACCTCAGGAAAGGAGGCTTGTTAGGGGACACATTGTACCCAAGAGCATCCGCACCCGGCACGCATGGGGCCCTCGCTCCTGCAGATGGCGGCCTGATGTGTGGGCGCCTCCTGCGCCAGGCAATGCCGGCTGTGGGGAGTGTACGAGTGTTACTCCCATCTGACAGGTGAGGAAACCGAGGCCGAGGCAAGGGAGCGCACAGCTTCAGCCTGCTCCTGCAGGAGCCAGCGCTAGACGCGGGGCTGGCAACTCCGGGCTGTGCCGCTCTGCGCGCAGTGGCAGCACCGCTGCTGGCTGCAGGGTCCCCGGGGGCCTCAGTCTCACCTGCAGTCCCGGGGGGCAGAGCAGGGTCCGGCTTGGCTCATTAGTTATTCCTTCTGAGTCTCTGAGTCCTGCCTTTTAGGAAACCTAAGACCTCAGCCAACACTGCGGGAAATACTCATCTAGTTGACTCTGAGTCTTCAGCAGGTGCCAAAGGAAGCCTGTTTATCGCTTTGCAGCTAAAAAGGAAAAATGGGCCAAGCCGTGGGGGCTGGGCGGCGAGTGTGCCGCCTGAGCAGCCCCACCCGTGTGGGGAGCAGCCTGCAGCCCGTGAGGCCCTGGGCCCACCCATGCCCGAGCGGGGCCTGGGCCCTCTCTGCTCTGAGGCTGCTGAGCCCAGGGCCGGCTGCGGCAGGTGCCCAGGGGGAGGCGCGGGGAGGGCGCAGCAGGGGCGGCTCCCACCCAGATGGACTTTCTACTCTGACATGCCGCCTGTTTCGTCTTTGTGGTCCGAATTCTGTGTCAACCGGCATTGTCAAGCTGTTTAAAGATGCGGCTCTGTGAAGCAGGAGGTCTGCAGGGACCATTCTGATGCTTTTTAGAAAAACTTAAAAGGTTGTCACACCGGCTGTGAATTCACCATTTCCCTTCTGGGGATGGAACGTCCGGTCTGTGGGCGGGGAGGAGAGCCGGGCTGCCTCTGGCAAAGCCGGCTCTGCGCGGTGGCAGTCCGGAGCAGGGTCGACGCCCTGCACAGCCAGTCTGCTCAGGGCTCCGGGCACAAAATGCGCAGGTCTCGGCCGGCTGACTTGCTGGCTCTGCGGAAGGGCCGGGCCGCCCTCGCCGGCAGCGGTCACTGTCCCCTCTGCTCTGAGGCCTCAGGAAACAGCTGGGCCATGTGGCGGGGCCAGGGGGGCTGTGGCTTGTCGCACTCCCAACAAGCCACAGCCAGAGCACTGAATTGGACCCCTTCCTCCCTCGCCTCGCGCTCCGGATAAAAGCGCCCCCCCCCCCCAGGCAAAGGCCACAGGCTCCAGCAGCACGTGGGAGCGCAGCCACCTAAAGTCGGAGACGACGGGACGGGATGGGGCGGGATGGGGCGGGGCAGAGCAGGGACCGGGTGTCCCGGACTCCGCACACGCCGGGGCACGCAGGGAACAGAGGGCGACTGTTCCGTAGCCAGCGTCGATAGCATGGGATCCGCGTCCTCTCCCAGGCCTGGCGGGCCCCTCCCCACCCTCCCTCGGGCAGGATTCCCGAGAGATCCCAGCACCCGCAGAAACGGCGCATCACCCGGGAGACTTTCCCCGGAATGAGGCCAGACGCCGCGAGCCGGAGGCGGTCGGCAGAGCCCGGCGCAGCCCGGCGCGGCCGTGCTGGCGAGGACACAGGGAGGACGGGCGGGTGGGAGGTCCAGCAAGGGGAAGGCACTCCGGCAGCGGCCCGCGCAGTCGCCCCGCCGTGGCGCACCGTCGAGAACACGCTGACACGCGTTCCGCCGTCTGGCGGAACCGGAGCCCTGCAAGGCTGCGCGCCATGGCGCCACAGTGGCAGGGTCGCCTGGCTGTCAGAAACGCAGGGCTGGGGGCCCACCCAGCTCTGCCTTTGCCGGGAGGAGGCAGCCAGCCAGGCCCTCGTTTCAGCCACGACTGGCGGCACCTCCGCTCCCTCAGTGCGGCCACGGGGCTGTGGTCAAACCCGTGTGATCGTGCCATCCTCTGTGTCTTCGCCCTGGGCCAGGGTGGCTCTGAACAGCAGGCATGTCAAGGCCCCTCTCCCTCCCTGGCGCCTCTGGCGGCATTTGGCCCCGGCGGGGCTGGGCATGTGCGGGTGGGTGGGAGACAGAAGCTGGGCCGGGGGCTGTAGCCTCAGACCCAGGGCAGGTGCCGGGCGGTCACCGCTGGCTTCCCCCTGTGCTGGCCTGTCTGAGTCTCAGGACCTCATCTGCCCGTGTGGCTCAGAGGTGCCCGCACAGGACAACACTAACCAGCCTACTCCACTGGAGAGGCTCGCGGGTCGTGACTGCGGTGGGGGGTGGCCGCGAGCCTTGGATCGGTCCACCGGCCAGGTGACCCTGGGCAGGTGGCGGATGGTCCCGAACGGGAACAGAGTGGCCGCCTCCCAGGTGGCTGGGGTGAGGCCAGCAGTGGGCACTAAGAGCTGCCACTCCCCTTCGGGGGGCATGTGTGGAGACAGAGCTGGGGGCCCCGGCAGGGCCTGGCGGCTGGCTGCGACCTCCCACCCCCAGCCCCCGGCACTCACGTCATGACCAGCGTCTCGTCTCCCGGCTCGCTCAGCAGCCCGTCCACGAACACCGAGGTGCTGGTGAAGTTGTGCGTGCTCCAGGTGAGGCCCTCGTCCAGGCTGAACCTGCACGAGAAGGGCCTTCAGCACCCCAGCGTGGCCGGAGTGCTCCTGTGTCTGGGCCTCTGCCCTCTGCACTCAGCCACCGTCCACTGAAGCTGTCTCGGGGGCCAGCCCCGATCTGGGCCACAGCTGGAGCCCTTTCTGCGGGCGGGGCTGCAGCAGCCACCTGCCAGCAACTGCTTAGCCATGTCATGACCTCGTGCCTTGAGTGTGTTATCTAGTACCATGAAGGCAATCTGTACCCCTTGGGTTACACGAGGCCTGAGTCCAGCCCAGAGGGTGCCAGGCCAGTGATGGGGCTTGTATTGCAGTGCTGCCATCTTGCAGTAGATAAAGCTCTTTTTCAGACTAAAGTGATAGTGGTTTCCTGTCAGCTGCTCTAGCTCTGCTTTTCGGGTCCCAAGTTCACAGCTGTCCTCAGTTCTCCATAAGGGTTTGCAGCTGTGTGGCAATACTGCCAACCCCACTCTTACCCGGCACAGGCTATGGGCTTCTGGGTCACTTGGCCCCAGTTCCTCCTGCTGATGCTTAAAGGTCACCTCTGGGAAGCCCTCCCAGCGCCCCCGCCTCCCCTGGGCCCCCAGCCCCAGCCTCCCTCTGTCCTGTCCGCCCATCCCGTTTGCCTCACGAGGGCTTGCGGCGCTCTGCTGCCCCGTTGCCGGTGCAGTCGGCTGCGCTGCGGCCCCGCGCGGAGCCTGCTGGGGCATGTTCTGAGAGGCCGGGCAGGGAGGAAGAGCCCTGCACCCACACCCTGCTGCTCCCGGGACTTTACTTGAGCGTCTTCAAGGGGATGGAGGTGTCCTTAACGGCCACGATCACGCCGCCGTGGTCCAGGTACAGGATGTGGTGCTCCTCCTCGAACACCTGCGGGCGCGGGCGGCACGCTGAGGCAGCAGCCCAGGAGGCTGCAGGCCATTCCGGGCCGGGGTCACTCCGGGGCAGAGTTGTCAGCGCACGGACGGGGGTGTTGGCAGAGGCCTGGCCCTGAGGCCAGGGCTGTCTAGGGTCCCCGTGGCCCCCAGGCCACCCCTGGGCTTCCCTGGCCCGCACGGACTCAGTACACAAACGACGGGGACAATTTCTACAGCGCTGACGTGAGAGGCAGCGTCGCCACAGACGGGCACCGCAGGGTCCTCTCTACGTGAAACTCGCGCACAAGCGCCAACATGGGAGGGGAGAAAGGCAGTGGGATCTAGAACATTTCAGATAAGCATCACAGTAAGAGCAAATCTCAATTGGACATGAAGACGCAACTCCAGTGTCTCCTCCTCCAGGAAGCCCTCCTTGATGCCACCTGGAGAGGGAGCTGCGTGACACCCAGAGTTTAACTGGGGAGAGAAAGCAACACACTCTCTTTGGAAGGAGCCCCGCGGCGCTAGGGAGACGGATTTAGGGGCAGAGGCCTGTTGGAGGTTCCCGCAATGACCCAGGAGGAAAACGAGTTCTGACCCAAAGGGCTTCTCCTCTGGGAAATGGTGAGCTCCGTGTCTCAGGGAATATTCCAGAGAAGCTAGGCTCCCTTGCCAAGAGGACCAGGACCCCAGGGTGGCTGACGTCACACTGGGTCCCGTGAGGCTGCCGTGAGAAGCTCCAATGGCCACCCTGTGAGCCGGGGCTGGGGCTGGCCTGCTGCGTGGTGTCTACGGAGACTGGCGGGAACCCAGGCACCGCGGGGGCAGGGGAGTGGCTTTCCCAGAGCCCGACTCCGAAACTGCCCCGGAGGTGGCTGCGGTACCTGGGGCCACCCAGGGTCCCCGGGAGAAGCGGCACCTGCTCTCCTGGCTGGGGACTCTGGGCAAGGGCTCCACGTCTCCGCTCCCTCCAGCTCCCATGCCGTGGTTTTCTGCCCTGACCGACCCTGAGCGCACGGTCCTGTCCCCATCTGCCATCTCTCTGTCCCCACAGGCTGAGCCAGGGGTCCTGGAATGTTTTCTGGCTTTATGAAAAAACACCCCAGGGACCTTATGTTTTTAAAAGGTTATGTCGATTAAGACACACTCTGCCACTGGTGACTCATCCTCTCCGCTCTGCTGCCCGGCACGGCACAGCCCACGCATCCCTGGCGGTCCAGCCGCGCAGGAGAGCCAGGGAGACCGCCCGGAGCCACATCGGGTCTGTCCCCTGCCTGGGCGCCCGCTCTCTCTCCCTCCCCTGCCAACCCCCATTAAACTCCAAAACCCAGCGGGACCATCTCTCCTACCTGGACACACACTTCCATCCCCGCACCCCCTCACCCTGCACCCTGCACCCTGCACCCACCACCCAGCACCCTGCACCCAGCACCCTGCACCAGCACCCTGCACCCTGCACCCCTCACCCTGCACCCACCACCCTGCACCCACCACCCAGCACCCTGCACCTAGCACCCTGCACCCAGCACCCTTCACCCAGCACCCTGCACCCTACACCCAGAACCCTTCACCCAGCACCCTGCACCCTGCACCTAGCACCCTGCACCCAGCACCCTGCACCCAGCACCCTTCACCCAGCACCCTGCACCCTACACCCAGAACCCTTCACCAAGCACCCTGCACCCAGCACCCTGTACCCTGCAACTAGCACCCTGCATCCAGCACCCTTCACCCAGCACCCTACACCCAGCACCCTGCACCCAGCATCCTGTACCAGCACCCTGCACCCTGCACCTAGCACCCTGCACTCAGCACCCTGCACCCAGCACCCTTCACCCAGTACCCTGCACCCAGCACCCTACACCCAGAACCCTTGACCCAGCACCCTGCACCCAGCACCCTGCACCCTGCAACTAGCACCCTGCATCCAGCACCCTTCACCCTGCTGCCATCTGGGGGAGAGGCCCTTCGAAGCCGTGCACACTCGCAGATGCTCTCCTGTTTCATCCTCACACTCCCAAGTTTGATCCAAGCGAATTGCTCGGCAGAAGTGACCTGGATGAGTGTCTCACAATCAGTTCCTGCAACATTAGAAAACCTCTTCTGTTCCCTTGTCTATTTCATCTAGCAGGTGGGACTTCTCCAGTAAATAGATAGACGGTGACCTTTGAGAAACTTTAGACATGTTCCACTAGTTTTAGTGAAATAGAAATATTAAAATACAATAAATCTCTTTTGCCCTTTTCAAAATTCCTTGTTTCTTGTATAGTTTTTAAAAAAACGTCAAGGCCTTAAAACAGCCTGCAGGCGGGTGTCATGCCGGCGGGGTGACATAGCCGTGTGAGTGTCACCAGGAGGGGGCTGCGGGAGACACGCAGGCACATTGAAAACCGGCCGAAAACAGAACTTCCTGTCTGGAAGGGGACGCACAGGCGAGTGTAGGCCACGTGCTTAAGCGTTTAAAGGAGAAGAGGAGAAACTGTCAGCCTATGTCCTTCTCTGCCCGGCCTGAGCCCCACGCACGCCGCACGGAGCACGGGACCCTGCACGAGGCCGTGGCCTGCACGGCGCCTTCCTCCTGCCCTCCTCCCTCTTCTCAGGCCACGCTGCCACATCTGGTCGTCACTCCTGGATGTCCCCCAACCCAGGCTTGCCATGGCCCAACCTGCTGTCCCCATGCTCTCTCCTGCTATCTCCTGGCAGGTCCCTGCCACGAATCTGGGCGGCACCTGGCCCCACCTCCTGGCCTCTGTGTGACACCTCCTTCCCCTTCCATTCCGTGGCATTTATGTCCTTTCTCAGGTGTTCATGGTGACACATCTGACTAGGAAGACGTTTCTCGGGTCTGAAATTCCCCATCGGCGGCCATCAAGAGAACAGCAGGGTGGCGGGAGCCGCCCGCCCGGACTTGCCTTTCAAACACAGCAGATGCACTATCTGCCACATGGCGACCTGGGCTCGGCCACGCGGCTCAGAGCTTATCCCATGCAGCTTCCGGAAGGGAGGGGTGAAAGACGCATCTCCTGGGAGTCCTGGCATGACGGAGTGGGAGGCACCAGGCACCTCCCGGCCACCTTACCTGCCGCCAGGTGTGCCCGCAGTCCGACGTGATATACATTTCTTCTTTATACTCCACCAGCTGCGAGCCCAGGTTACCTGGTCCAAAAGAAAAGGGGCAGCGTTGTTCTCAGGATCAGCCAGCTCTCTCCAAGCTAAGGTCTGAGCCTGGAAAAAATCCCCAAACAAGGGTGGCCTGTGCCCAGGTCCATATCTGCCACCACAGAGCTGTGCCTGCCATGCATGGGCCCGGGTCCTGGCCTGTACAGTAAAGAACCAACCTGCCCAAAGACAGCCAAGCTCTGGCAGGGGCCCAGGTGCAGCCAGAGCTCATGTGCTTCAGCAAACCCACAGGTATGGTCCAAGGATCAGAGTGTGGAGCGGTGGTCAGAGACAGGCGGGCAGTGTGGGCTGCTGGGAAGCCTGTTGGGCTTTAAGCCAGGGCAGGACATGGCTAAGTTTGGGTTTGGGGACAGCTTGCGGGAGGCTGGTGCAGGGGAAACCAGAGGCAGGTCCAGGGAAGACCAAGTGACACCCAGCAGGTGCTCACTGAATATCTGCTGAGTGGACATCTGGGAGGATAGAGAGGTGGGCACCAAACCAGCTGGGCAGCCTGGAGGCTCTGCCTAGTTTGGTTCACTTAAGCCCCTGCACCAGGCTGGCTGGGCTGGTCATCAGCCTTGACCCTGTGGGTGGTGTAAAATGGAAAGAACTCCCAGCTTGGATCTCAGCCAGCCCCATCCATCTCACAGGTGGGGAAACTGAGCCCGATGGGCTTCTATAAAGAGAACGATGGCCACGTGTCAGAGCACAAGCCCCAGGAAAGTCAGGTGGCCTCCTACAATGGGTTTGAACAGGGACTTTCTGATAAGCTAGACTCAGCAGGCCTCCCCACGCCCCACGGCAGGGCAAGGACAGGGGTCCAGGTCCGCAGGATTACAAGGACCTCTGATGACAACACTGAAGCTGTTCTGGAGCCCCCAGAGGCCCCAGCCCTGGGTGACTTGTATATCACTTGCCATTTGAAGCCTTATTTAGGTGGTGCTCTCAGAAGAGTTTTATTCAGAGTAAAGTTTAGAAGTTATTGGAAAATTCCAATGAAATGGATTATCCTTAAATAGATGAGATCTATCCTTAAAGTGAGTTCTAAGCACAGTAGTAGACTGTTTGTGTGTTTGTCTTCTTTTTTGAAGTCCATATGTCTACCCACCCACACATCCTCCCATCTATCCATCCACCCACCCATCCACTCATCTATCCATCTACCCACCCATCTACCCATCCATCTGTCCATCCATCTACCCACCCATCTACCCATCCATCTGTCCATCCATCTACCCATCCATCTGTCCATCCATCTACCCATCCATCTGTCCATCCATCTACCCATCCACCTATCCATCTATCCATCCAACCATCCATCCATCCATCTATCCACCATCCACCATCTTTTATTAGCCTATTATCCATCCAACCAATTATCTCTCCATCTACCCACTTATCTCTTAATTAGCTGCACCCACTCACTCATTCCTGCCTTTATTCATTAGCATGTCCCAAGGGCCTGTTCTCTGCCCAGCCCTGTGCTAAGCTCTCGGAGTCTGAGCTGATTGAACCAAGTCCCGGCTCCTAAGGGCCTCAACCTGGCAGGGGAAGGAGGGTGGGAGGGCCGTGCTGTTGTACATAGAACCAGGACATTGGGCCCGTGAAGGAAAATACTCAAGGAGAGACCCAGGCTGGGCCTTGGGAGACAAATGCGAGCTGGCCAAGGGTAAGGGCACAGGGCGTGCCTGGGCAGAGGCATGGGGGCGGGTGGGAGCGGACAGATGGGAAGGCGGCAGAGGGGTAGGTGTGGAACCTGGGTGTCTCTATACTGTCCCTTTGTGGGGCAAGGTAGAGAAATGACTGCTGAATGAATGAAACGAATGAGGTGAATGAATGAATGGAACAAGTGGGTAGGGAGGGGAGGAGGAGGGGGCACCCTTTATGCCCCGTTAACCCAGACGCCAGCAGACACTCCAGGACACTCGCAGACCCTGCTGCTGCGTCCGCACAAGGAGCTGGCACGCTGCAGTCTGCAGCTGGCAATGCTGGTGGTGCACATGCGTGTCTTTGACGGGCGCTGTTTCCCTCTGTCTGCCAGAGCCATCAGGCTGCCAGTCACCCAGCCGGGGCATGACAGGACTCCACAGACACACCGGCTGCGATGGGACGGGCCTGTGGAGAGCGGAGGCTGACAGCTCAGTGTGCGGAGGGACACAGGCCTGGACACGTCCCCTCCCTGCTGTGCTGCTCCGGCCCCTCTACCTGGCCCTGGGGCTGGCAGGTCTGGTATACAGCAAGTGCTTCCTTACCGAATGAAAGTACACTTCCCCTCCATCCTTCCCTGCCCCCGCGGCCAGAAGAGCCGAGCAGAGCAGCAAAACACCCACCGCCCATGGCACGTCCGGAGGGGGAGGGCTGTGGGCCTGTGGACCCCATGGCCAAGGCTGCCCCTCCTGTCCTGGGCCTGCCTGCGTGCTCGTGCCCCACCTCCAGGGCGGCAGGTGAGTGTCCTCAGGGCTGGCCCAGGCCCCTCTCCAGGCCAAGGGCTTTTCAAAACCTCCCACATCTGGACACTGCCCGCCGTGCATGAGCCTGGGCGAGCGTGGCTGAACTTGGAGGAAGGGACTGTCATGGGCAGGGCTCTGGCCAGCACTCGGCTCCTTCCCGTGGGCCCCGGCCCAGCCCACAGCGTTTCCCAGCAAAGCCGTCCGGTGCTCCCAGCTCCCAATGTCCCCCCCTAAGGTGACCTGCGTCGGGGCCAGGGACGAGGAAGCATGTGCCAGCCTCCACTCTGCTGGGTCCTGAGGACTCGTGTTTGGATGATGAGCCGGGACGCAGACGAGTGGCAGGCGGATGGGCGTGCCGCGGGGGAGGGGCTCTGTAACCACCAGGGGTACCCACCTGGCGTTGTCCACACACCGCACCTGTGAGTGCTCACAAGGCGGATGATCATCCTCATTTTACAGATGAAGAGACCGAGGGTCAGAGAGGCCTGCCCCAGACCACAGAGCCGGGAAAAGTCAGAGCAAAGATTGGCTCCAGCGCCCTCCGTGTTCCCGCCCATCAGGGCTTCCCGCCTCTTGGTGACAGATTCCCGGGCCCTGCTCCCAGGGGCTGGGATTTTTTGGCCTAGGGTGAGCCCCGGAGACCCCAGGGGGTGCTGCCCAGAGTGCCTGTCTGGAGGAGGCGCGGGCAGGGTGGAGGCAGAGGCCTGGCTGGGCGGGGGGACAGCCCAGGAGCGCGGGGTGGGAACCAGCTGGCGCAGGCCGCCAGGGCTGGACAGACAGGCAGGTGGGAGCCCCCGAAGGTTGTGGAGCAGGAAGTGTTTACTCGTAGGAGGTTTGCATGCACACGAGCCCGGGTCCCAGCCTACCGAAAGGAAGAAAGGACAAAGTTGCGGAATGCAGGGTCCTTCAGACGCGGTCACTCCAGCAAGGCTGTGCTGGGGGTGGACCTGCCTTTCTGTGCCCGACACGTCCGGGAGATCATGCCACGGGCATCTCGGCCCCAGCTGGGTTCCTGCAGGTGGGTGTGGCCGCCCCCCACCTGCGGCCAGACACCAGAGTCCTGCCTTTGCTTCTTGAATCTGTCCTTCCTCGTCCTGATTGGGTTCGAGGCCCCGCTTTCTGCAGGCCCCTCTGCAGGCCTGGCCCCTGTGGACTGGACCCGAGGACAGGGGCGCGTCCACGCTACCTCCCATCGCCGCCCTGCCCCACCCCACGCCTTGCCCGCGCTCGGCGGCCCGGCCGGGAGCACCAGCCTGTGTGGCTGCAGCAGCTGCCAGCTTGTCTGCCGGTCCCAGCGCAAACCCCAGGGCGGAATCAAGGCCCATATCCTGTGTCCCTTTGTCCCCCGAACATCCTTAAGGGGCAAAGCCTCATCTCTCCACATCTCCAGGGCCCTGGCAGGGGCCTGGCACGGGTTGGGGCATGCTGCAGCTATCCAAGCGCAGGGACGATTCAGACACGCCCGAATCGCATGCTTCTGCTCACCCCGCCTCACCCTTACAGTGGGAGTTTGTCCTCTCCTGTTGTAGACGAGGAAACTGAGGCTCAGAGAAGCCCGGTGAAATGCCCAAAGTCCTATAGCTGGGAGGTGGCAGTGCCTGGGCTTGCAGCTCTCGCCCACCTGCCTCCGAGGAGGGCAGGGGAGTGACCCCGGGAAACATGCACCCACCCCCCAGCTGCCCCTGGCAGTGCAGTCAGGCGGCCGAAGCCTGTGCCAGGGCTAGCACCACATGGGACAGGGGAGTGTGGAGCCAGCTCCCACTCGCCTCTGCTCCCTAGAGCCCCAGCCCCCAGGGAGAGTCCCTTCTGCTCCCGCAGAGCTCAGGAGGGGAGGATGGAAACACTTGCACGTCAACTGGCCCACGCTGCACGGACGGCTCCCCCTTAGGGGAAAGCCCTGGCCACGACTACACAGAAGCAGAGTGAAATGCCAGTGTAGCATCCTGCCCTTGCAGGGAGGCTGCGGCTGCAGGGGTGGGATGGCCACAGTTCAGGGACGCGCACGGGGCTCTTGGGTCCAGGACACTCACTCTGGGCTTTCAAGGACTTTGGAAACTGACAGGCGATGAACTCTGTGAACTAAAATAAAAACTTCAGCCCTTGGCTGACTGAGTGGACCCCTTCTTAGCCAAGAGGACCCAAGAGATTCCCTAAAGCTGAGTTGCTGGCCATGAGAAGGGAGGTCAGACACGCCTCCTCAGGCCCCCTCCCTTCGTGGAGACGTCCTTTGTGACTCACTAACAGGCCTCAGGCCGTGCAAGCCGAGGCTTGGCCCACATCTGCCGGTCATCGATCTACTTAACGGGTCACGTGGGTCTGGGTGTATGTCCGGTATATGTTAGGCAGCTCGCCTCTGATTAACAAACTTCCTTCTCTTAACTTAAGACATTCCAAGACTTTAGACAAAGCTTCATTTCTTTAACTAATTACAAATCAAAGAATCCTTAAGCCCACCTATAACTGTAACCCCCTGCTTAGAGACATCCTTCCTTTTCGGGCTAAACTGATGTACGCCTTCCATGGATTGACTTATGACTTTTTGTGTCAGTCCTGCCTCCCTGAAATGTACACAACCACACTGCAACCCGACCGTGGTGACACCACTTGCTCTAGGCTTCCTGGGTGTGGTTCTCCGGGCCATGGTCACACATATTCAGCTCAGAATAAATCTTTAAATTATTTTACAGAGTTTGAGCTTTTTTCCGTTAACAACTTCATTGAAATCGATGCAGATGTGCAGAATGTTCACTTATCAATGCAACCACCAGGCAGATGCCGTCCACCCCAGCTGACACCGGCTGGAAGGGACCCCGGGCACTGGGCGCACGCGGGGAGCCTCAGCGGTGGAAGGCGTTATACTTTCCGTCTGCTCTCACCAGTGGTGTCCCTTCCCTCCGTAAAGCCCCACATTCTCGGGGTAACGTCAACACGCCTCGTCCTGACGGTCAAGGTCTCTACTGTTAGAAACCCACATCGTTTATGGGGTCTTCATCCCCCAGCCAACCTGTGTCGGTTCAGTCACTCTGAATGCCCATGCTCCCTCTTCTGCCCAGAAGGCCCTCCTGCCATGTCGGCGTGGCCATTCATTCACTCATTTGTTCATTCACTCACTCATTCATAAGGAGCCGTGGAGGGCCCACCTTGGGCCAGGTCCCAGCCTTGTGCTGGGACATGGTGAGGGGTGGGATGTGGCGTTCAGCTCAGAGTCTTGGGTCCAAATCTAGCCAGTGCTTGGCCTTCAGAGACACAGCCACCCCCACCAGGTTGCAGATGGTGCTGGGGACAACTAGGAACAGGGTCCTGGGTTCAGAAGGCCATGAGCTCTGGGCCATGTCTCTCTGTCATCTCTCCTCTGTGATGAGGCAGTAGACATTGCCTCTCTGTCATTTACCCCAGCTGCAAAGTGGTCATGCAAAGTCTTGCCTGGCTATCCACATCCCAACCAAGTGACCTCAGACAGGGTGGCCCTGCTTGGTCTTTGAGTGACCCTTATAACTAAAATAAATATGGTATTACTCAATCATCACACACTTAATGATCCCTGAAGAAGGTTCTAGTTTAGTGGGGGAGAAATACACACATGCAAATTATAATTCTGGTTTTGTAAACAATGATAGTTGTATATGTGCATCTCTTTCTCACTAAACTAGAACTTTCCTCAGGGGCCAATAAATGTCAGTCATGATACAAATCATCCATCCATCATCCATTCATCCATCCATGGATCTATCTATCTATCTATCTATCCATGCATCTATTCATCTATCATCCATCATCCATCCATCCATTCATCCATCAATATATGCATCCATCTATCCATCCATTCATCCATCATTCATCATCCATCCATCCATCCATCCATCCATCCATCCATCCATCCATCTATCCATCCATCGTCTATTTGTCCATCCATTGTTCATTCATCCACTCATCCATCATTCATTCATCCATTCATATATCCATCATTCATTAATCAATCCATCCATCCACCCTTCCATCTAGCCATACTTCTATTCAGCCAATGCGTATTATATGCCCACACTGGGTTATGCATTCACTCTTCAGAATTTGTCACGAGATCTGAGCTTCCTGGAGATGTTGTGGCACTGCCTCCCATGAACACATCATGGCCCCAGTCCCATGGCCATCAAGCTACCCTCGGGCTGTATATCGCCTGCCAGCTGACTGTGATGGCAGCCACCCACCTGCACCCATGATGAGGCCTGGAGCAGTGTCCTTGGTGTGCACAGTGCCTGATACATAGGGGTTGTCAGCCCAGCGCAGGTGCAGGTGCAGGTGGCAGTCTGGCTGCAAAGAGGAGAGAAGAAACAATGGTCAGCACTTGGGTAGGAGGGTCCTTAGAAAGATTAGGCCTGAGGCCAAACCTGACCCTTCCCCTTGGCTTTGGGTGAGAAGGCAGGGCTGGGCGTGTCTTAGAGGAGTGATGCAGGGTGGGCAGCTGGCCTGGAGGCTGACCATGATGGAAAGGCAGCTTTGCCCAATGGGCTGGGAGGGATGGGAGGTGGAGGAGGTGTGTGAGGCAACCAGGAGGATCGGGGGGTTCTCTGGTCTAGATCGGGGCCCTGCGGCATCTGGTGTGGTGCCCCCACTCATGGACGCAGCAAGTGGGGCTCCTCCCAGGGAGGGCTCTTGGGTCCTGGCAGGTGGGCTTTCCAACATGGCTGCTACATGCAGTGCTGGGCCGAGGGACCATTCTGGAGCCTGCACAGCCCGAGCTCATGCTCACTCGTCCAGACACCCAGAACCATTACTGGGAGTGTCTACGTGACCACAGTAGCCTGGGCAGCAAAGGACAGCTGTGGGCACCCCATAGACCCTCCGCACCTTGAGAGGCAGAGGGGTGGTTTAGTGTCCTGGAGCTGCGGGGGGCTGGCTCTGGTGACCCCGATTCTCCTCTCCCCTCTCTGGCAGCCTGAGACGCTGGGTCTCAGACGCCGAGCCCGCCTGGGTGACCCAGGAGCTCCACCCGAGACTCCACCTAACCAACGATGCCAAAAGGTTCGCGGGGGAACGATTCTGGGGTCAGCCTTTCTGGTCCCCCCAGGTCAGGGAACTCCACAGGACAAAGCAAGATGGGCAGCCCCCAGGCCTGGTCACAGAAAGGGCAGGGCCTGCAGTCCTTGCACCTCCTCTCGTGGCTCTTGGCGTCTTTCTCTGTGGCTGGGGCAATACCTCTGCTTCACGGGGCTACCGAGTTAACATGGCGCTGCCACTGGCGCGTCTGTGTCCAGCCCTGCCCTGGCCAGGGTGCTGCCCAATCGCTCAGTTATGACAAGGGTGAACATTTCCCTTGCCCTCTTTTACTTATTTATTTTTTTCTGGTAAAAATCTCCAGTTTAGAAATACCCTAGAATTGGGAATCCAGAGATCCAAATTTTAACTTAGGAGGTGCCACTAATTCACTGGCAACTTTGGGCCTCGATTTTCTCATCTGCAAAATGGAGACAGTGGCGGCTGCGGCCCACACCCTGCGGCAGGTCATTCCAGAACCCACTACAATGTTACGGCATCTGCTCCATCTGAGAGACAGTCTCTCTCTTCATTTGATGCTTTTATAACACTTTCTTCTGGCCCATGAGCTATGTTTTACACAGATTATCCTAAATTAAAAATTAAATTGTTCAGTAAATTGGACGCTGGTTGGGCTGCAACCTCCCGGCGGCCGGCATCCCCAGCTGACAGTCGGGCTGCACCTGTCTGCACGAGGCTGCAAGAAAGTGCTGGCTGCACTACATGTCGCGCAGTGCCATCTGCACGTGACGCCCCGAGCAGGGAACTCCGCAGAGACGGGGCAGACGGCGGGTGCCTGGCCGGCGCGATGGGTGGCGGGATAGCTAAGGTGCTTCCGGGTGATGGCTGCACAAATCTGTGAATATACTAAAAACCATCGGACTGCACACTTTAATGGGTGAGCTGTGTGGTATGTAAATGATATCTCAACAAAGCTATTAAAATCAAGAAAAAGAAATAAATAGTGACAAATTTAGCCAAACGAAGGCCCCATGCCCGTTGCAGAGTCACACTCCTGCGGGTGACTAGGGGACTGGAGGCCATCCCCAGGGCAACCAGGCCCCCGTGCTGAAGATGGCAGGGCCCTGGGGGCAAGGGCCTGGCCTCCGCGTCACCCCCAGAGAGCCCCCTCCAGGAACACTCGGGGTGGACCAGCCCCACTGAAGCCCTGTGAACTGTGACAGCCTCTGCTCCCACGGAGGTTTCTGATTTCTAGGACTGGAAGGCAGGTCAGTGAGTTAGCAACTTTGGTGGGACCATTCAGTCTTGTCCCCTGCCCACCCTGACAGAGCAGGCGGAAAGGGGAGGGGTGTGCAGGAGAGGGGAGCCCTGTGGTCTCGGTGGAGGGGCCCTTGCAGCAGATGGAGGCTCCAGGCAGGAGAAGCAGCCTCAGCAGGGCTCGGCCTGCTTTGGTGCCCTAGGCTTCCTGGAGGGCCAGGTGGGGCGGAGGGACGGGGCTCATGGGCTGGTCTCTGCCAACCTTGTCCCCTCCCTGATGAGCTGGCACATCAGACCACTTTCTGAGCGTGCAGTGGGCAGAGCCAAGTTAAGGGCACTGCCTTGCGGACCCTGGCTGCCCCCTCCTGCCCTCACCGCAGTGGTCTGTCCAGGTCGCCTGTCGGGCCAGAGATACAACACCCCTCAGGGCTCCCTGCGGTCAGCCGTGGCCCACAGGCCTCTGGCAAACGCAGGCAGTGCTGCAGTGCCCTCTGCATTCCCCTTGGGGCCTGACAGCTGGAGCGAGGCTACACACCGCCCCAAGCAAGGCTGGGCTGAGCGACGTAGGGAAAGGCAAGCAGGCGGGCCTGGGGGTGCTGACCCCGGGGGTACACGGACGCCCTGCGAAGGGAAGGGGCGGCATGGAACTCCAGAGCGCCCCTTGGGTGTGCACCGGCAGAGACAGAAGTCCTTTGAGGCCACGCAGCGTGAGGACAGCCACGGGACACGGCCCAGTCCTGACAGAGGTGGGTCCCGGGACTCCAGGGCCGGGTGGGCTGGGAGGGGAGGCCCGAGCTGCCCCCAACGCCCCCTTCTCTGCCCCTCTGGTACACACGGGCCAGCAGGGCCTACAGAAGTGCACAAAGTGTCCAGCAAGTCATGAACCTGTCGGAAGGACAGAGGGCAAGGAGCCCAGCGTCAGCCCTCCGGGATGCCCAGCTCCTGCCTCAGCCCTGAGTCTAAGAAGAGTTCCGTAGGCTACAAAATGAATGGGCTTCTAGTCTGCATTCGAGCTGAAAACAAATTCAAAACCATCTTCCAATTAAGGTAGATCACCCTAAAACAGTTCTTATCCTACCACTCACCTATTAAAAATGCCCCTTCATTTCCCCATTGCTGGAAGAAGATATCCCCAGACAGGGGGCTGGCTGAACGGGCTAGGAAAAAATTCGTGACCCAGAGTTAAGAGAAGAACAGAAGGCTGAAGAACTGCATGTGCATTAGGATCCCAGTGATGACCTCTTAACATGCGTATGGGCTAAAAGATTGCAAAGAAAAATACCCGATTATTGTCACTTCTGGGTGGTGTGATTACAGTTGGACCCTATTCCCCTTTATGCGTATTTCTTATTTCCAAGTTTTCTGCCATAAGCAGACATCACTTTTATGATGAGAAACAAACCTCGGATGCTCTTTGCCCTGTTCCTCCAGAGGACGTGTGGCCGAGTGGGGGTCACACTCAGGGAGGTCTCTGTGCTCGGCCAAGCGTGGCCGAGCCCTGCATTTCCCGTTCACGGTGCCGCGGCCACACGCACAGGGCGCGGCCTCCCGCCCCGAGGCTCTCCCTCTGCCTCTGCTGAGCCCTGGTGGCCTGTGCGCTCTGCTCCCCTCCGTCTGCGTCTCCGCAGCCGCCCGGGGCTGCGCACTCACCAGCTCTCCTGTCGTGGTTATTTTAAGGTCAGGACATAAATCTCAGAGGTTATCTCCTCACTGAGCTGCGTGGTTGCAGGCCAGAGTCTATTCTTAGCAAAAACTTGCTTTGACAGATTAATACGGCTGAACTTCGCTGGCGACGATACAAAAATTAGCCCTTTCACAGCAACTCTGTTCTCGGGAGGGTTTTTACAAACGGCGGGTAATCAACTCCCTGCGCAGGTGGGCAGGTGTTGCCATCCTCCATCACTGGCAGGAGGGGACCTGAGCAGGTGCCTGGGTGGCAGCTCAGGCCTGGGGCGGAGCAGGCTGTCTGTGCCTGGGGGCAGGCAGGGCCGCTGCCCGGGAGGCACAGAGCCCGCCCGGCCAGGTGTCAGGGCTCAGGGTGGGTGGAGAAGCCGGCTCTGCCCGTCTGTGCCTGCAGTGGCCCCGGGGGCCCGCCGTTCTCGGATTCTGCCAGACAGTATCCCAGCAAGGCAGGGATTGCTTTCTGCTTTGTTGACAGTGCCTGGCAGGCAGCAGGTGCTCGTGTGTATTTGTTGAATGAAAACGCTGTAAAATAGGCACTGCTGATCTTTCTATTATACATACACATGAGTAAACTAAGGCAGAATGATGGATGGATTCAGGGGTCCCAGTGTGCAGTCCTGCCTTTGAGGGGCTTGCAGTTGACAGTGGGAAACAGAGAAGCAAGCCCAGTGAAGTCTTCTCAGTGGAGGGGACATGTGGGTAGGGTATTCAGGTATCAGTAGGAGTTTGCTGAATGAGGAAAAGGGAAAGGGCCTGCTATCTCTGTGCCAGGGATAGGCAGGTCCCTGTAGTATCTCATTTCATGCTTGCCACAATGTCACAGGGATTTTTATCTTCTCCCCCCCCTTTTCATCAGAGGCTCAGAGGCGTTGGTTGACTTGGCCAAGATCATACAGTCAGTGGGGATACTGAGACTGTAGCTCTGTGTAGTTCCACTTCTGGACTCTCCCCCCACCCTGAGTGCCCGAACACCTGGGAACGATCCAGGATGCTTGTGGTAGTGAGCTCCCTGTGGTATGCAAGGAGAGAGGCCCTGGAAAGGCCATGTCCAAAGTCAAGAGGGTCGGGGAGAGGGAGAGAGAAGCATGGCCAGATGCCCATGGCCCACTCAGCCCCTTCCTGCCTTGCAGCTGCCGGTCGCTGAGTGCTCACTGAGCCAGGGCCCCTTGGAGAGCCACCCTTCTACTCTCACCAGCATGAGCCTGTGTGCCACCTGGGTCCCTGGTAGCCACGCAAGAGCTAGGGCGGTCCCTGCCACCTTGGGAAATCCCTTGCCCCTTCCCTCTCTAGATGGCCAAGGGGCTCAGGCAGTCTACACCTGTATTCATCCAGAAAGGCAGCCCTGGCATAGTGGGACCAGCTTTGGCACTCATGAGACTTGGGCTGTGGCCAGTTCTGCATTTATTATGATGGTACATTGCCTTTGGTGGCAGATTATAAACACATATCCACTCCCTACTTCTTACCTCCATGGGCAGAGTGTACTTCTCTGGTCCTTGATGTTGGCTAATAAGATCCACCAGATACAACACAAGGAGGCTTGGAATGTGCTTGCTGTTTCTATTTATCCCCTTGTACCTCTGCTATCACATGAGAACTGGGCTGGCCCCAGGAGGAGGAGGCAAAATGTACAGCTGAGACTAGTCTGGAGCAGTTAACTCCAGTTAACTCCCAGACATGTAAGCAAACCCAGCCAGGATCAGTAGAACCACCCGGCTGAGCCCAGCCAAGAACAGCAGAGCCACCCAACTGAACATCCTCAGATCTGGAGTAATTGTGTTTGGGGTGGTTTATTACCCAGAACTTTTATAAAAGTGAACGGATACACATCTCTGTCTGACTTCTAGTTATCTCTCTGTAAACAAGGAGTTGCACTCACCCCTTTCCACCACACCCAGCAGCAGCAGGCGGTTTGTGTGTCTCAGATGGCCCCTCTCAGACATAGCACCTCTGACCTTCTGGATTCCTGCAATGATGTCTTGCATCCACCCCATGGGAGGTGCCTGATGTGAGCAGAGGTACTTACAGGCTTACAGTTGGTGGGCTTTCCATTCATGTCCATGCTGGGTGGTCGCAGGTAATCCCAGTCTCGGCCCTTGTTGTAGGTTATAAGTGTCATCACCTTCCCATCAATTTTTTGGTTTGCCAGAAAGACTCCTTTCACCCCTCTGACCTAGGGAAAAAATGGGAGAAGGATTGTAACCCTACCCTGGAGCTCTCGTGCCTGAGTACCCACCGTGCTCCAGCCCCATGCTGCGCGCTCTGCACACACGGCCCCATTTCACCCTCACGGCGGCCCTGCGGCTGAGGCACATTCTAGAGGTGAGTGAGGCTCGGAGGGGCCGGGGACCCAAGACCCTGCCACAGCTGCCGCAGCAAGCTCGTTCTGCCTGGCTTCCTGGCCTGAGTGATGCTCACAACCCTGAGCTGTCCTGCCAGGTCCAGACACCAAACTGCAATGGCCAGCGTGCATCAGGGCCACCGTCCTCCCCCGGGGCTCCTGGCTCAGAGCTCAGAATCCCCCTCGCCGCCTGTTTCTACCTGTTTCTGCTGCACCACAGGCCCTGGGCTTTCCTCCGGGGACCCCTCAGCTCAGCCCCCATTCAAAATAGCAAGTACTAAGGACGGGAGGGCCACGCTGGCCCAGCTTGTCCTGGGCAGGCTCCGCTCTGCCTTCCCTGCTTAGGGCTGACCTCACTCCCCAGACACTGCTCCCAGTGCGGGCCACAGCTGCCGTGGCGGGGATAGGGCAGAGTGCGTGCATGTGTGTGAGTGTGTGAGCATGTGTGCTTGTGTGTGAGAGCATGTGTGTGTGAGTGTGAACATGTGTGTGTAGAGGACAAGTGTGTGTGAATGTGAGCATGTGTGATCATGTGTGAGCATGTGAGTGTGCGTAGAGAATAAGTGTGTGTGAGTGTGAGCATGTGTGTATGTAGAAGACAAGTGTATGTGTGTGAGCATGTGTGTATGAGTGTGCATGTGTGTGACTGTATGTGTGTGCATGTATGTGAGTGTGTGTATTAGTGTGTGTGGGCGTGTGTGTGCATGTGCGTGCACTTCTGAGTGTGAGCATGTGTGTATGAGTGTGTGTGAGAGTGTGTGAGTGTGTGTGCGTGTGTGTGCATGTGTGTGCGTGTGTCTGAGTGTGTGCGTGTGTGTGCATGTGCGTGCGTGTGTCTGAGTGTGAGCATGTGTGTATGAGTGTGTGCGCGCGTGTGTGTGTGCTTGTTGACTATAGACTGCTGGGCGGGTCCCTCCGTGTGGGACTTCGGAGCAGCCAGGAACCCACCGAGTGGCCGGGCCTCTGCCGTGTCGGCAGCCAGTGGCCGCGCCGGCGGGGCGCCCAGCGGGGCTGTGTGCCTCGCGCACACCCAGAGCCCCAGCAAGGCAGGCGGGAGAAGGGCGCCGGTGCTGGGTCGGGCCGCCAGCCTGGGGCAGGGACGCCGCCGTGCCGCGAGGCCTGGTTTTATTTGGTGATTGCTATTTTGTGTCTCAGCTGGGTCCCCACGAAACACTTGGCCATAACGAACGTGGTCCCTCCCATCCTGGGCAGACCAGCAGTTACCAGCCAAGGCCCCGGGGGGTCTGGCTGGCTGAGCGTCAGCTCCGAGTAGCGACGTGGCTTTGTGTGACTGCCGCTCCGTGGCTGCATTCTTTTTCTGTGGCTGCTACAAAAGATTACCACAAATTGGGTGGCTTCGAACAGCAGAAATTTATTCTCTTGGAGGCTGGAGTCTAAAATCAAGGCGTCGCAGGGCCATGCTCCCTCTGCAGGCTCTGGGGCGGGTCCCTCCTGCCTCTCCCGGTGCCGGGTGGCTCCTGCCTCCCTTGGCTCGTGGCGGCACCTCTGCCTCCTTTCCTGCGCCTTGGCGCCTCCTCTGTGTCTTGTGCAGACGTGAGGGCGGGTGCAGAGCCCGCCAGGACAGCTCAGATTGATTGCACCTCGAGTTTCACTAATTATGCTGCGAAGGTCCCTTTCTAATAAGGTCCCACGGCAGGGCCCGGGCACGAGGACGCGGACGGGCCTTTTGGGGGCCACCGTTCAGCCCATGGCAATGCCTGTCTCCCAGCTGTGACCAGGGATCCTCAGAGGCAGGGACGGGGCTGTGTCCCGAGTTCCCACTTCTAATCCAAGCTCCAGCATGGGAGGAGCCGAGAGAGGTGGCTGCCTTGCCTTGAAGCTGGGTGTGCCCTGCAGAGGGACAGACCTCCACGGCGCCTTAAAGTGCTGGCCTTCAGGGACGGCACTTGCCAGCCACACCCGGAACAAACGTGCTGGACGTGCTGCTGGGTGCACGGTGACCATGACAGCGGCAGACCTCAGGTGCCAGGGCCGCACCAGGCCCCGCAGTTATACCCAGTCCCCAGAAGAGCAAGTGCTGGGGACACAGGGTGTGCTGTCCTCCCCGTCTAATAGGGCTGATGTCTGAGTCCTCACAGCAACCCCGGAGGAAGGTACCACTGCCATCCCTGTTTCACATGGGGAAGCACAGGGAGGTTAAGTAACCTGCCTAAGGCCACACAGCAAACAAATACCAGAATATGGGCGTGAACCCAGGCAGTCAGGCTCCAGAGTTGGGCCTGTATCCACCAGCCTGATCCCTGTTTGATGATCTCAGGAAAGCGACGCCACTTGCGAGGACCCCGAGCTAGTGCTGCCTCTGGACCTGGCCATCGTCAGTCTCCTGTTCCTCGTTCCTCTTCCCTCTCAGGCTTGGTGCACAGATCTGTGCCGCTCCCTGCTTCCTCCCCTGGCTAGCTTTTGCGCAGCCTCAGCTCAGTCTTTGCACTGCCCCCTCCAGGAAGCACTCCCTGACCCCTGCCCCGGCTGGCCAGTCACCCCTATTTGGTGTCCCCAGGCGCTTGGGAGCCAGGCTTCCTGCTCCATGAGGGCTGGACGTGGCAGCCCTGCCTGTGTCCCGAGGGCGTGGCCAGGGCGTGGCACGTGGTACTTGCATCACAGGCACCGTGGCCTGAGCAGCCCAGGGAGCCTGGCCCTGTCTGAGCTCCCCTGGCCTTGGCACCTCTCCTCCGCCCCCAGCAGGGCTGCGTCATGCAGCGGCCAGGACGGCACCTCCAGAGCCAGGCCTGTCCCTGTGCGTCCTGCTCAGAGGCCCAGCAGGACAGCACCTCTGGGGGACAGGGGTCCCCGCCTCAGGCAGGAGAGGGCCCCTGCAGGGGAGCTTTCAGCAAGCTGCAGCTGCTGGGGAGCGCCCCCGGCACACGGGCTCTCGCTGTGAACAAATGGCTCCATTCATTACTTTCCTGGGGACAGTTTTCCCGCTGCTGCTGGCAGGGGAGAGATGGATGCTGAAGCCACCGTGCTGGTCTGTCTGGGAGGTGCCTCCCACTACAAGCCCATAAACGCCAATGTCTGCCCAAGGCTCCGCTGGCCACCCATGGGACACGCTCCCCTGCCCTGGCAGGGACAAGAGGCCACCACGTGGCTGCAAGGGACTCGGCTCACCCTTACCCAGCGCGTGTCACCCACCTGCAGCCTGATGGCCCAGGAGCGTGTTCCCCTCACCGGGGCTTCCCACGGGCAGGGCATGCAGGAGGAACGTGGGGTGGCGGGGAGCGGTCCCCAGAGGACGTGCCCAGCTTGGAGCAGCCAGACCTGGGCTAGTCCTGGGTTTCCTGCTTGTGCCTGGGTCTGTCTGGGCAGCCTCAGTTTCCTGACTTGTAAGTGGGCGGAGGGGTCCCCTCCCTGGCTGTGGTGTCGATAAGATAAGAAGAAAGGACATGGCCCGGGAGTGCCTGGTCTGGGCGCGGCTGCTGGGGTCTGAGGGTGGGACGTGAGGAGGAGGGAGCGGCGCTGTGCAGGGCCCCGGGCGGGCGGGCGGAGCAAGTCCTAGTACCCACAGAGCACCTCTGCCTGCAGGGCCTGAAAGGTCTGGCCTTTTACAGACGGTGTTTGCAGACCCAGAGACGGAGCGTGGGGGGAGAGGGGGGAGGGGGGAGGGGGGAGGGGAGGAGAGGGGCGGGGTGGGCGGGCAGGCCTGGCCCACAGCCACACCCGCGGTCCCACCTCTAGGATGTCGATGACCACGCTCTCCTCGGCCTGCCGCGAGCTGCGCACGTCCCGCAGCGCCAGCGCGTAGTGCACGCCGCGCGGGTCCGACTGGTACAGGTTGTAGGTATCTGCCTGGTGCCACTCCTGCACCGCCACGAACACCTGGTTCTCGTCCGTGCTGATGATCTGCAGGTCCTGGGGGACACAGGGTGGGGCGCAGGGTCAGGGACGGGCTGAGGGTGGCAGAGGGAGGAAGGGGGAGCTGGCAGCAGCGTCGGGCTGAGCTGGAGCTGCATCTGGGCTCTGCGCCCCGGGCCCTGTGGGTGTGGGCAAGCCCCACTACCTCCCTGGGCTCCCCGTGCACACCTCTAAACTGGGGGGACGCTGGGAGCCTCCGTACCTGGGTGGGAGCGTGGCCAGGGACACCTCCGCCTCCTTGCCCCACACCGGGCAGCCTGTCCGCTGTGCAGCAGTGGGAGGAGGCACCCTAACTCCACGCACCCCCAGATGGTCAGCGTGACTCGGGGCGAGGGCTGGCTCCTCGCCGCCAACCAGAGGATCAGCGCGTCCTCTACTCCTTCATTCATTCACCACATATTTGTTAAGCACCTACTATGTGCCAGGTACTTTCTGGGCACTGGGACACAGTGGAAAACCAGATGCTGTCCCCACCCTTTCAACATGGCAGGCGGGGTGTCTGGAGTAACCCACCCAGCTCAGGCCCTGGGCCGCAGCTGACACAACCGGACACTCGTCCACAGCCCCTGCGCCAGCCCCAGGCTGGCACGAGGCCGGTGGGCACACGGTCTGGTGGGGAAGGCAGACTAGGACCCCGCGCGATGGTCAGGAGGCTTCCCCAGGTGAGCTGGGGAGGGGAGAGGGCTGGGGAAGGGGAAGCCAGGGCAAAGCCCAGCCTCTGTTCCTGCTTCTGGGCGCAGGAGGCTCAGGCGGCTCCTGAGTGGGCTCAGCACAGTGGTCTCAGGTTCAGGTCCACGTTGTGGGGATTTTTGAGACAGGGTCTCACTCTGTTGCCCAGGCTAGAATGCAGTGGTGTCATCATAGCTCACTGCGGCCTCCAACTTCTGGGCTCACGTGATCCTCCTGCCTCAGCCTCCTGAGTAGCTGGGACTACAAGTGTACAACACCATGCCCGGCTAATTTTTTAGTTTTTGTAGAGACAGGGGTCTTACTATGTTGCCCAGGCTGGTCTTGAACCCTTAGCCTCAAGTGATCCTCCCTCTTGGTCTCCCAAAGCGCTGGGACTACAGGTGTGAGCCACCAAACCCAATCCTAGTTCCAGATTTTTTAATTCAGAAAACACCCAAAACTCAATCAAATACAAAAGAAAACCAGGGATGACTTTGGTTTCTTGCTTTTCTTTTCTCTCGGGTGGGAGACGTGAGAAGGGGCATCGGCACGGCGCACTCTGAAGCCCTGGCAAGCTGTACCCCACGGCCACTATCGCTCGGCCTCTGCCCGCTGGGGACTGCCGCCCGCGGCAGCGGCTGCCAAGACAGGCGCTGGGCTTGGTAGGCGGGGAGAGGCCAGGCCGGCACGCGGCTGGGTGGCACGGATGGCGGGGAGAGGCCAGGCCGGCACGCGGCTGGGTGGCTGAGGACGCGCCTCGCTCCGCCCTTTCCCATCTGGGGGAGGGCGCAGGGACGTCATTGCTTCCCTGCGTGGTGACAGACCGGGTCCCCACTGTGCTGGTGGAGCACGGTCTCCAGCAGGGGTGAGGCAGCCTCTGCCCGGCAGGTCGCTCGGGGCCAGGTGACCCCTGAGTGTGAGGCTGGACCCCGCCCTCACCGCCTGCCTGTCTCCTGCACCGCGCAGCCGCAAGGCTCTGCAGAAGAGGGGTGCCGTGTTGGGGAGTAACCACCGTGCACCCCACAGACAGGGAGGAACCCATAGCCACACAGTCTGGGGTCTGTGTTTCCCCACAATTAAAGGACATGAGTCTAACACGCAGAAACAACCGGAACCAAGACACGCATAACAAGGGCAGGAGTACCGGGCAGGCCCAGGGCCCGGCGGGTCCCGTCTACGCAATGTGTGGGGTGCCTACAGGTGGCAGGCCACCTGCTGCTCTCTCTCCCCATCGGCACCCTGCCCCGTTTACTGGTCCTTCTCTGCCCGCCGGGGAGGCCTGTCCACGGGCCCACGCCGAGGCAGAGAACAGGCCCCTGCAGTCAGATCGCCCTGCAGGGGTGACTGAGGGTTCGGTGAGATCCCGGGCGCTTCGAGCTCAGGGGTGCCTTGGCCTCAGCTGCACAGCCGGGGCTCAGTGTTCGCAGTGGCTGCATTAATTCATTAATTCAGACTTTGCCTCCCTTGGACCTGGGTACATGCATTGGTAAGTGTTTTTTGTAACCTGGGAGACAAAGGAAAATGTGAAAGTGTCTCAAAGTTACTTGCCCTGCCACCCTAGAGAGACTTATTTTTTACATCTTTATTTCGAATTATTATGGGTACATAGTAGTTGTATATATTTATAGAGTGCATGTGATGTTCTGATACAGGCACACAATGTGAATTAATCAAATTAGGGTAATTGGGGCATCCACCACTGCAGGTATTTATCATCTCTTTGTGTTAGGGACATTCCAGTTCCATTCCTTCAGTTATTTTAAAGTATACCCTAACTAATTGTTGATAATAGTCACTGCGTTGTGCTATCAAATATTGCTCATTCTATCTACTATATTTTTGTGCCCATTAACCAGCCTCACTTTATGCCTCCCTCCCCGGTACCCTTCCCAGCCCCTGGTAACCCTCCTTCTCTGCCTCCATGAGATAAACTGTTTTAATATTTGGCTCCCACATGTGACTGAGAACATGCAAGATTTATCTTTCTGTGCTTGGCTTATTTCACTTAACATAATGTTCTCCAGTTCCATCTATGTTGTTGCAAATGGCAGGATTTCAGTCTTTTTTGGTGGCTAAATAATATTCCATTGCGTACCACAACTTTTTTATCCATTCATCCATTGGTGGACACTTGGGTTGATTCCACACCTTGGCGATTGTGAACAGAGCTGCAGTCAACATGGGAGTGCAGAAGCCGTTTCGACACACTGGATTCCCTTCTTTTCGAGGTCTACCCAGTGTGGGATTGCTGGGTCTTAGGGCAGTTCTATTTTTAGTTTTTTTGAGGAAACCCCATACCGTTCTCCATAGTGGTTGCACTACTTTATATTCCCTCCAACAGTGCGTGAGGGTCCCTTCCTCCACATCCTCACCAGCGTTTGTTAATTGCCTTTTTGATAAAAGCCATTTTAACTGGAGTGAGATGAAATCTCATCATCGTTCTGATTTGCATTTCTCTGATGATTAATGCTGTTGAGCATTTTTTTCATATACTTGTTGGCCATTTATATGTCTTCTTTTGAGAAATGTCTATTCAGATCCTTTGCCCGTTTTATTTTAGTTTAATTAATTAATTTCTTTTTGAGACAGAGTCTCACTCTGTTACCCCAAGTAGAGCACAGTGGTGTCATTACAGCTCCCAGCAACCTCAAAGTCCTGGGTTTAAGCGATCTTCCTGCCTCAGTCTCCTGAGTAGCTGGGACTACAGGTGCATGCTTTGTACATTTTAAAAATCAGATTATTATATTTTTTCCTATTGAGTTGTTGGAGCTCCTTATATATTCTAATTATTAATCCCTTGTCAGATGGGTAGTTTGCAAATATTTTCTCCCATTCTGTGGACTGGAGAGACCTAATATTAATATTTAAAAATGTTTATGTTTGGGCTTTCTCCCAAGTGTGATTCATATATTTTAATGTATAGTTTATAACTTTTTGGTCTTTAACATTATATGGGGAGCAGTTTCCTCTGCTGTTAAAATTATCTATAAACACCACTTTTAATGACTACATGATATTCCATTTTGTGGCTAGACTAGATTTTATTGAACCATTTCCCAACTGGTAAATCTTTAGTGTTTTCAACATTATTGCAAGACAGTCATGAACATTCTTAGACGTAGATCTCTGCCTCTCTGGTTATTCCCAAGAAGGGAAATCACTGCAATGGAGACTGGGGACATTTTTAAAGCTCATGCTACTTGTTAAATTGCTGTCCTGAAGTTTTCATTAGCTCCTTGCCCGCCAGCAGGGTTAGAGCCCACTCATTGCACTTTGTGTATGCTGATATTGACAATGGCCTTCTAGAAATATCTGCTGATCGCAGAGTTATAAATAATAGGCAATTTTTGCTAAATTTTGCATTTATTTTATTTTATTTTTTGAGAAAAGATAGAAGCAGAGACATTCGTTGATAGCATTTTTAAACAAAGGACATGAGAAACATTCACATATATGGATATGTGATTGTACATCTTTGTGTGCCCTGGTTCTCGCCTGGAGAAATATGTGGAAGGAAACACCAAGGTTCCCAGTATTTGTTATGAGGTGGAATTAAGTTTGCTTACAAGTAACAGAAACAGGCAAAAAAAAAAAAAAAAAAAAAAAAAAAAAAGAAACTGAGATAAGGTAGAAGCTCATTTCTCTCCTATCAAGGCTCGCAGAAGAGGGTGCCGTGTTGGGGAGAACCACCGTGCACCCCCACAGACAGGGAGGACCCATAGCCACACAGTCTGGGGTCTGTGTTTCCCACAATTTAAAGGACATGAGTCTAACACGCAGAAACAACCGGAACCAAGACACGGCATAACAAGGGCAGGAGTACCGGCAGGCCCAGGGCCCGGCGGGTCCCGTCTACGCAATGTGTGGGGTGCCTACAGGTGCAGGCCACCTGCTGCTCTCTCTCCCATCGCACTGCCCCGTTACTGGTCCTTCTCTGCCCGCCGGGAGGCCTGTACAGGCCCACGCGAGGCAGAGAACAGGCCCTGCAGTCAGATCGCCCTGCAGGGGTGACTGAGGGTTCGTGAGATCCCGGGCGCTTCGAGCTCAGGGGTGCCCTTGGCCTCAGCTGCACAGCGGGGGCTCAGTGTTCGCGACGGCCTGCATTAATTCATTAATTCAGACTTTGCCCCTTGGACCTGGTACATGCATCTGTAAGTGTTTTTTGTAACCTGGGAGACAAAGGAAAATGTGAAAGTGTTCCAAAAGTTACTTGCCCTGGCCACCCTAGAGAGACTTATTTTAATCTTTATTTCGAATTATTATGGGTACATAGTAGTTGTATATATTTATAGAGTGCATGTGATGTTCTGATACAGGCACACAATGTG